AATTAAGTGTATATTTTTATAAAAATACCTGTTAGAAAACAAATACTTATATACATTATTTTTAATGGATATCGTCGACAGAATATTCAAATTAAATATATTTCTAGAGAAATTAATTATTCCAAAATAAAAAGAACCAATTAAAATATTTAAGCTGGCTTTGGCAGAATATTTATAACCTTAACAGCTTTTGCACTCTGCGACGAATCGTAAATTCACTTTAGAAGTTAACGTGCATATGAGTCAAACTAATATCCGAAATATGTGGTATAGTTGGATTATACCACAGGTATGTGAAGGATTGAGCGTACTACTCAGCGTAAATAAAAATCGTTACCAACCAATGAATTTCTGACCATTACCTGTTTACATTTTCGAATTCTAATTAAACAAATTATAACATTTTTATCAAATAACTATAGGTCTTGGTAAGATATTATTTGTGTTTTTCTGGTCATATTTTGATGAATTCAAAATATTCTAAACAAGTAAGCAAAGGCTATAGTCGTGCGAGGCCGACTATGTGATACCTTACAACACTACAATGTGTTAGAAGCCCCCTTATGTCCAAATCCATATTGGAAAATTTCGCTCTTGAAATTAGGATTTTGACTAGGGACATTTGCCCAATATTTATGCACTCCTTCGGGCTGTTAGTTTTTGTGGTCCATTTTACAGCTAAATATAATCCAATGGATATCCAAACATGGAATTGTTGGTCCATTTCAACCCTTAATATATTGCGGACATCTTTGAAAACAATAGGCCTAGCCCTTCTGAGCCCAACTCTACCCTTGTGAAAATTTTCGTGAAGATCGGGCGATATTTGCAATACTTATATAATACCCCCAACCTGTATTGTAAGGTGAAAAAATATTACAAAATATTATAAGTCAAATTGAAAAAATCGCATGCGATAAAAAATAGAAAAAATAAAAATATGTCACAAAATATTACAAAATCTATATTAACATCATTATTGGCATATTTGTCTGCGATTTTTTTTTTGAATTTGTACTTTTATGTCAAGAGGTCATTCTGAATTGACAAAATTCGTCAAAATCGGTCCATCCATTCTTGAGATAAGCATTCTAACTAACATCCCCTTCCTTTGTATATACACATTGTATATATTTCGCTATATACAACCGATACATTTACTATCGGCATCGACGTAATGGTCAGAATTGACCTGTTCGTCTATTTGTGATTTGGTCGGGATTAAAAATATTCGCGGTTTAATGAAAAATTGACTTTTATTTGACACAAATGTTGTGGCCTATTTCACCCACTAAATATTACCCGATGACCATCAAAATTGGAAGGCTTCCGCCAGCCCTAAGCTCTAGCCCCATGCTGACTTTCGCGTCCATTGGTCTATAATTGCGACCTGTAGAGTAACTGCAAAATCAGGAATTTTTCAGTTTTTGGTCCATTTCAACCCCTAAATATTATGCGATCATCTCCAAAAGAAATAGGGTTCTATTCTGACCCTAGGGTTCTATTCTGACCCACCTCTAATCTAAATTTCGTGAAGATCGGGCCATAATTGCGACCTGTAGAGTGATTACAAATTAACATGGACAGACGGACAGACGGACGGACGGACATACATAGCTAGATCGACTCAGCTCGGCGAGATGGGAAGATCCATATATACTTTCCTATGTGGGAAACCAATATTTCGAGGTGTTACATAATTGTTGGCCCAATCAAACTTATAATACCCCCAACACATAGTGTTGTAGGGTATAAAAAGGTAACTAAGAGAATATAAAACGGAAAAGCTAAGCAATTTGAACATTTCAAATAAAAATTGTAAGGCTCTTCGCAATTTATATTGACCCAACCAAGATTTTACCGTAGACAAACAGGCTGGGGAACAAACGGAACATTTTATGGGCAGGACATTTATGCTAGTATAGAATATATGCACGTATTTTTATATTTTACGAAGCCGAATATTTTGAGGTGTTCCAAACGGATTGTCAAATCTAATTACCATTAAGCGGAGATTATAAAATAAACAATATTTAATTATCAACAATAGAAAACAAGTTTCTGCACATTGAATATTTAGTTAAACGAGTTTATGAAAGCTGCAGACAAAATTCGAATATTGATTACTGGGTTAATTTAAAAGTGTTCAGTTGGAGGGCCTTGAAAAAATATTTCTATAACTATTCACTGGTGGCAGTTAACATTCTTTGATCTTTGGCTTTATTCAAAAGCAATTGAGCAGTTTGAATTAAAAAAAAAAAAAAAGTTTAAATCCAAAATGTTGACCCTTTATATGGCAGGTATCGGAGGAGTGGGTCAATATCTGAAGCAATCTGAAGTAAGTCCGATATAAATATTTCGCCGTTCCAGCTTTGACCACATCGATTACTTCCTCCACTTTATATCAGGTATATATCTCCTTCGATATCAATAAAAGAGGAAAATGTTTGTACGTTTGTTTGTTTGTAATTTATAGACTCAAAAACTGCTTAACAGATTTTCCTGAAAATGTCCATATATACTACAGCATCGCCTTAAAGTAACATAGGCTATATAATGGGTGAGATAAAACAACTGCAACAAAACCAAACGCCATAATTTCTACATTTTTTTAAATTTTATTGACCGAAAGCAAAAAATGTCGAAAATGGCATTAAATTTTAGAATAAGTTTAGATTTGTTCGAATTGGTCACTTTTGGCACGAATTTTGGTCTTCAAACGGCCAATGAAACCGTCATACGCTGCCCGAATATTGCACTGCGGTATTTTGGCTCATTCCCGGCGAAGCGCTTGCTTGAGGTGATCGACACTTTGCTGTATATTAGTCCCAACCTTGCTTTCCAAAATACTCCAGACACAACAGTTCAACGGATTGGTATCCGGAGATTTTGGTGGCCATTGTACGCTGGAAATGAAGAGAGGAACCTCATTGTAACCATTTTTGGGTGGCGCGTGCTAAGTGCGATGGTGCTGAGTCCTGTTGGAATGTCCATGGTCTGCGACCAAAATGTTTGCGTACCCAAGGCTTTAATACACCCTCCAGAATATTTTTGCGATAATATTCAGCATTTATTCTGATGCCACGGTCGATTAAAGGAGCGAAGAGCGACCATCGGCTGTTATGGCGGCCCACACCATCACCATGGCCGGCGTTTGAGTTCAGGTGGCCAACCGAAAGTGCACATTTTCAGCTCACCTCTTTTGCAAACTGCTGGACAACGAATGTTTTCTTATCGGAGAAAACCAAATTCGTCAGTTCGCCACTTTCGGCAAAGCGCAGCTATTCTATAGCTCTTTTGAGTCTATTTTCCCTCTGTTAAGGTGTAAGTTTTTGCACTTTTTGGAATTTCAATGACTTTACCCCGAGCTCATTTTTCAATATTTGCCGAATGGAATATTGCGATTTGTTCAGCTCACGATCAGTTTTTCGGCCACTGCGACGCGGGTTTCGATCAAGTCGCTTCTTTACTTTTCGAACCATTTCTGCTGATGTTGCTGTTTTCTTCAGTTCACTTCCTTGACATTGGAATACGCCACCAGTACCAAGGTAACGAGCGATGTTGCGAGACACAAAATATTTATTCACATTTAAATGCTGGAGTGCTCTAACGATAGCCAGTTGTGGTTTTCCAGCCAAATATAAAGATATCACACTATCACGCTTGAATTTCTTCACGAATAACTTTTATTCTGATACGATATAATGAGCTGTCACTGGAATAATTTTAACAGCTGTCGCACGAGTGGCTTGGAAATAACAGCAGTCTGAAGTTGGTTGAAGTTTTTTCATCTCACCCTATAATGGCTTGTTCTGGGTTACACGTGGATTTTCAGTCCCCCAGAAACGTAAATTTTTCTTATTTAAGTAATCGCTAACATAGAAATCGACCTCATCACTCATGATTCGTTTTGGTGAAAAATCATCTTCACCTTTTTGTTGGTGATTAAGGATGACTGGCGGTCAGCAGCTATAAAGTCCAGATGATGCAGCATCTGGACTTTGTACAGAAATATCTTCAAATCTTGTACCAATATTCCCTGTGAAGACCGTTGACTGATACCCATTTGCGTGGCCAATCGTAAAATTTAAAGCATTTTCTGATAGGATTTAGTGGACCGATATTTTTAATTTTCGCACCTGTCTTAGTACTGATATAAACATTAGGATTTAAAAAGTTAATGCAAAATCCTTTCTTGTTGAATTCCTAATCATTTTCTATGAAAATTTCAACATTTTGTGGACGATATACCAAAAGTAGTGGACCGATTTTGCTCTTCTCCGAATCCGATGTAAGTTTGGTAGAAATAATAAGATTTCTCAAGTTTAGAAAGAATCGGATACTCTCTTCGAGAATATCGGACATCGCTAAATTAACGGCAAATATTCTGAAACGAAATTCGCGCAAAGATACATAGGGTCCAAACCCGTTATTTCGGGTTTGGCTGCCTCAAATAAAATGAAGAAGAAATCTACTAAAAATACACCTTTAGTGACTCGCTTGAGGGTTAAAATTCCCAACCAAAATAATTATCATATCGATATCAGTAATACAGTACGTTAAGTTTATACGGCATATGAGGCCCTCGCACCTCGGCTACGTCAATGCAGTCTATGAAACTTGTCTTCTAAATTCTTTCAGCATATTATTGTCTTTAAAATGAAATTTCATATTCTGGAATTGGTTTATATTTTTTTAAATTACTCAATAACAAACAACAAAAGCTCGACATAGCCATGAGTGCTAAGTTGATAATTAATTTTTGTTTCTTTTCGTTTTATTCAAAAATGTGTCTTCTATTAGCACAGTAAGTAGCTTACTACGCCGAGTCGGTAGCAGTTAATAAATTGTATTCTCCTTAGGCTGATCGGATAGAATATTGGGGCTACACGAGTGAAATTCATAATGTGACCACAAAGGATGGATTTACTTTCAGTATATTTCGTATACAGCCATCAACATTCTCTCAGGCGAGGAGAGCGCGACCTGTTGTTCTGATGATGCATGGCTTGAGTAGTTCTTCGGATTTTTGGGTTTTAAAGGGACTCCATCAACCATTGGCATTTCTGTTGGCCGCAAATGGCTATGATGTTTGGTTGGGTAATACTCGTGGAAATCCTTATGGTTATGATCATCCGGAAATATCTATGAATTCTCGAAAATTTTGGCGTTTCTCTTGGCATGAAATTGGTGTCGAGGATTTGCCCAGCACCATCGAATATATATTGGATATAACTCATCAGAAAACATTGCATTTTGTCGGCCATTCGCAGGGATGTACAAGTTTGTTTGTTTTACTCACCACAATGCCCGAGTATAATGACAAACTAAGATCGGTACATTTGCTGGGCCCAATGGCCTATGCGAGCCATATGCGTTCGCTGTTGGCTCGTACAACCGCACTTGTCATTGGAAGATTTTCCCCATTGGATCCGCTCTTTGGTGATACTGAACTTTTTCAAAATCCAATTTTACTTAAACTCTCCGGCTTTGAGAGCTGCCGCATAACAGGGGGAGCACTGAAAATATGTCCCCTTTTGTATTTTCTGGCATTCGGTGGCGAATCGGATTATACTTTGAAGGTAAGTTATGCCTATCATTTTTTTATAATTTGTAATTTTTATAATTTGTAAATTCTTCAAAAAAAGAATTCTATTCCAGTCCGTTTATCCCGACTTTTTCGAAACCCATCCGGCCAGATGTTCCACCCATCAAGGCATACATTTTCTTCAGCTTTATATTTCCGGTTATTTTCGTCAGTATGATTTTGGTGCCGAGGGCAATCGTCTACGTTATGGTCAAGATGTACCGCCGGAATACGATTTGTCTAAGATAAATCCAAGATTTCCATTGCATCTGTACCATAGTAAAGGTGATGCGTATTCTGCCATCGAGGATGTACAACGCCTGAGTGCAGTTTTGGGTAATCGAAGTGTTCGACATTTTATCGATTTGGATAATTTTGCCCACATGGATGTTGTGTTGGGTTACAACGCTTATGAGGTTGTAAATATAAATGTGATGAGAACTATGAAGCAAGTTGATGACCATTTTCAGGAATAAATTTAAAACGGAGGAATTTTGAATATTTTGTATTGACTTTATGGCTTAATTTAATAATAAAATATTCATGCAAAACAGCTGAAACCATGGTTGGAAATATTCAATCAATTGAAATTGTATCGAAATAGTAGTTTCTTATATGTTACTATTTTTTATACCCTACACTACAAAGTGGTCAGGGTATTATGTCTTTGTGCATTTGTTTGTAACAGGCAAAAGGAAACGAGATAGACCCATAGTTCCTTTTGATGATCTGCATAGAATCACATTCTGAGTCGATTTATGCATGTCCGTCCGTCCGTCCGTCTGTCCGTCGGACTGTCCATGTATTTTTGTAAACAAAGTACAGTTCGCATTTATTGCCCTATCCAGATGAAATTTTGCACAAATCATTTGTTTGGCCCAAGGACGAACCCTATTGAATTTGGAGATAATCGGCCAAAATTTAGACATAGCTCCCATATATATCTTCGTCCGATTTGCCTTTTATTGTGCACCAAACGTGTAATATCAGGCCAAATAGTATGGAATTTTGCACATACAACCAAATTATGCCTGAAAATAAGTATGCCAAATTTTATCGAAATCGGTTCAGATATAGTTATGGCTCCCATATATATTGTTCATCCGATTTGTTATTTTTGTCCTCCGCAGCCGTAATATGTACTCTGTAACAACAATATTTGGGGGAATATATCAAATACAGCTCAGAAATACATTTGCTAAATTTTATCGAGATCGGTTCAGATTTGGATATAGTTTCCATACATAATTTCGTCCGATTTACCTTTTATTGTGCACCAAACGTCTAATATTTGTCCATATTGGATGAAATTTCGCACTTACGACCGAATTGAGTCTAGAAGCTAGTATGTCAAATTTGATCGAAATCGGTTCAGATATAGTTATGGCTCCCATATATATTGTTCATCCGATTTGTTATTTTTGTCCTCCGCAGCCGTAATATGTACTCTGTAACAACAATATTTCGGGGAATATATCAAATACAGCTCAGAAATACCTCTGCTAAATTTTATCGAGATCGATGCAGATTTGAATATAGCTCCCACATATAACTTCGTCTGATTTACCTTTGATTGTGCACCAAACGTCTAATATTTGCCCTAATTGGATGAAATTTGGCAGTTACGACCGAATTGAATCTAGAAGCTAGTATGTCAAATTTGATGAAGATCGGATAAGCTATAGCTATAGCTCCCATATATACTGTTCATCCGATTTGTCATATTTGTTACCCCACTCCGTAACAACGATATTCAGGGAAATATATCAAATACGGCTCAAAAATGTCTGCTAAATTTTATCGAGATCGGTTCAGATTTGGATATAGCTCCCATATATATCTTTATCTGATTTCAAATTAATTTTGCTCCAAATGGACAATACAGGGTTGCCCATATTCGACGGACCTTTGGGCCCTTTCCAATCGACGAGGCTTGTCCGCAGGCAACAGTCTTTGCGTCAAATGAATTTTGTACGGGACAAATGCGAATAATCCGTTGTAAAGTGGACCGAGCCATGCCCAACTGCTGAGAACGGCGTTTTTGGATTGTTCTTGGGAACTCTCAACACTGGCTCGTACGGCAGCGATATTCTCGGCCGATCGCCTTGGTCGACTTTTATATGGCCTCTTCGGATTAGAAAGAGCCTTACCAGTCGAAAATTTTTCGTATAAACGCTTAATGGTGTTCTTAGAAGGCGCACTTCTCACATTTAATGTTTTAAAAGCACGTTGAGTTTTCACAATTGAATTCTTCTGTTGAATGTAAATTTCAGAGCGCTCGCGTGGCGTGTATTGGTTCATGGTAAAAATCTGCTTGGACTGACGCTTCAAACGCGGTATGTCATTAAGCGATGTGACATCTCTGTCAAAAGTTATGGCGTTGCCAGATGGGTCCGTCGAATATGAGCAACCCTGTACAAGTCCGAATTTAAAAGATACAAATGCTTCGGCATATTTAGCCCTTTGAACTTTAAATTATAATTATAATCATGGCGTGTATGATTGAATTCTCCCATAAAAACTTTTAATTGTTATGCGGAGCTCTACTAAATTAGCAAAGTGGTGTAGGGTATCATAAAGTCGGCCCCGCCCGACTTTAGGACTTTCTTTACTGGTTTTAATATTTGCAGAAATGTTGAAAGCCAAAATGAGAATTTTTCATATTTAATAGAAAATTAAAGTTTTACTGTGGGAATGAGGTCTAGAATGTAGTGACAGGGCCTACGAATCTTACAAATATTTTTTAAGGACTTCAAGAAAAAATTGCGCATTTCTAAATTACTTTGTGGCCAATAATCAAGTTGTTTCATGGACTTATTTCTTAGAGCCAAACCAAACTCTTAGATCGAAAAATTGGGGATTTCAAAGATTTTTTAAGGACTTGACCTGCTATTACTTAAAAACTTCCTACATTACACAGCCCCATTCAGGCCGATGGAAAGAAGGGTGAATATTAAATCAAGACCAAATCTTCTGGATCTATTTTCGTTTAGAGCGACATAGCGCCTGAAAGCCATTATTCCAACTGAAAATTATGATTTTCCTTTTTTTTTTTTTGAAATGTTAACACCGATTTCAAGTTTTTTTTTAATTTTAATTATATTTTCCGCTTACTTGAAAGAAGTAACGGTATAGTCCTTGGCAATTGAACACCCTTTTGCAGAAGTGCTTTTCTAACCTGCTACCAGCCCTATTGCTTTACCAATACCGAAATTTAGTACAACTTAGTACTTTTCGTACAAATAAAGGATGCGTTTCCAAACCATCACCAAATGTTAAACAAAGATACCATCAGCAGTCTATATGACAAATTTCAGAATTTTATCTCCATCCCTTCACCCAGTACCAAATACAGTAGCATTCAGCACTTTTAATACAAAATCAGAGTGAAATGAAAAAACTGCAACCAACTTCAGACTGCTGTCATTTCAAAGCCACTCGTCCGACATCTGTTAAAATTATTCCAGTGACAGCTCATTATATTGTTTAGAAGCGCACAAATGCATTTTGGTGAAATTTTCCAGAAAAAAAAGGATGCTCTGCTCTCTTTGGATGCTCTGCTCTCTTTCATTAATAACACGGCGACACTGGCGTCATCGAAGTGTCTGCCATTAAGTCTTCCTGTAGTGGAATTTTTGGTAACACTGAAGCAGGCCACATAACTCGAGGTGGTTAGCAGGTTGGTTGCAGAAGAAGACCTTTGAAGTCCTCTATAGGACACATTTGAGGTCTTATATTCGTGATGGAATTCAAGGGTGATAGTGTGATTTCTTTATATTTGGCTGGAAAACCACAAGTGGCTATCGTTAGAGCACTCCAGCATTTAAATGTGATCTCGTACCATCGCTCGTTACCGTGATACTGGTAGCGTGGCCCGACGTCAAGGAAGTGGACGGAAGAAAACAGCAACATCAGCACAAATGATTCGAAAAGTAAAGAAGCGACTTGATCGAAACTCATGTCATAGTGGACGAAAAATGCCTCGTGAGCTGAGCATATCGCAATATTCCATTCGGAAATATTGAAAAATTAAAGATTGAGAAGGAAAATAGACTCAAAAGAGCTAAAGAGTTGCTTCGCTTGGCCGAAAGTGGTGAACTGCCGAATTTGGTTTTCTGCACTTTTTTATCTCACCCTGTAAAGCCGCCATATCTTTGCAAGATATAAGTCACATTTCCCATTTGATTCGATCCAAAACGTGAAGCAATAAAATTGTTTTATTCCACATATTAGGAGCATGCCCAGGCCCATGCACCTCGGCTCCGTCAATGAAAACTAATAAACTTGAAGTCTAATTTATGGCAATACATATGGCCTTTAAAAATGCAATTTCATATTCTGGAATGGGTTATGTTTTTCGAAATATTCAATGAAGAACAACAATCTCACGACAAAGTCATGACAGTCAAGTTGTTAATTAATTGTGGGTTTCTTTGCGGGATCATTCAGAATGTGTTGTGCATTACCACTGTAAGTATCTTCTCAAGGTTAAAGAGAATAAACGTTTACGACATTATTTCCATAGGCTGATCGGATAGAATACTGGGGCTTCACGAGTGAAATACATAATGTGACAACAGGAGGTGGTTTTACTTTCAGTATATTCCGCATAAAACCATCTGCATCCCATCAATCACAGGGAGCACGACCTGTGGTCCTATTGATGCACGGCTTGAGTAGCTCCTCGGATTATTGGGTTCTAAAAGGACTCCACCAACCATTGGCATTTCAATTGGCCAATAATGGCTACGACGTTTGGTTGGGCAATACTCGAGGAAATCCCTATGGCTATGATCATCCGAAAATATCTATGAACTCTCGAGAATTTTGGCGTTTCTCTTGGCATGAAATTGGTGTCGAGGATTTGCCCAGCACCATCGATTATATATTGGACATAACTCAGCAAAGAACATTACATTATGTCGGACACTCGCAGGGATGTACAAGTATGTTTGTTTTACTCTCCGAGATGCCCGAGTATAATGAAAAACTAAGATCCGTACATTTGCTGGCCCCAGTGGCCTATGCCAACCATAGTCGTTCGACATTGGTTCGTACGACCGCAATTGTCCTTGGAAGATATTCCATTTTGGATCCGCTCATTGGTGATAGTCAACTTTTTCAAAATCCAATTTTACAAAAACTCTCCGGCTTTGAGAGCTGCCGCAGAACAGGGGGCGCATTAAAAATCTGTCCCCTGTTGTATTTTCTGGCATTCGGTGGGGTATCGGATTATACTTTGAAGGTAAGTATACCCAAGTTGTATGCAATTTGTAATTTTGTGCATTTGAAGAATTCTCTTTTAGTCCGTTTATCCCGACTTTTTCGAAACCCATCCGGCCAGATGTTCTACCCATCAGGCAATACATTTCCTCCAGCTTTATGTTTCCGGTTATTTTCGTCAGTATGATTTTGGCCACCGGGGCAATCGTCTACGTTATGGCCAAGATGTACCGCCAGAGTATGATTTGTCGAAAATTAATCCTAGATCTCCCCTGCATCTGTACCACAGCAAAGGTGACACTTTTTCAGCCATAGAAGATGTTGAACGCCTGAGTGCAGTTTTGGGTAATCGAAGTATTCGTCATTATATCGATTTGGATAGATTTGCCCACATGGATTTCGTGTTGGCTTACAACGCTCATGAAGTTGTCAATCCAAATATTTTGAGAGTTATGCAGCAAATGGATGCCAATTTTTCAGAATAAATTGAAAACGTAAGAAATTTTGGATATCAATTTTGGATTGAATTTTTTCATTCATAAATTTTTTAAAAAAAATATGCATACAGTTTTTATAACCTCCACCATAGTATGGAAGTTATATAAAATTTGTCATTCCGTTTGTAACACCTCGAAATACACATTTTAAACCCCACAAAATATATATTTTCCTGATCAGCATAAAATCCTATATCGATTTAGCCATGTCCATCCGTCTATCCGTCTGCCCGTTTTTGGAAATTACTCTAGCCTCCGAACGAAATTAAGTAGGTTGATAAAATTTTACTCAAATGTGTATTATGTCTGCAGGACTTTTGATATTGAAAATGGGTCATGTAGCTCCACATTTTGACATAGCCCCCATATAACGGCACCTCCCGATATTCGGCATTTTGATAATTTTAGCGACGTTATTCACCGGAATTGTTTCAAATTTGGTATTTGAAGTTCGTAATGGGTTCTACAGCCTAAGACTGAAAATTGCTGGGCAGGTCCACGTTTTGGTATAGCCCCCATATAATTGTACCTCCCAATTTTCGGTATTTTGATGATTTTAGCGACATTACTCACCGAATTTTTTTCTAGTTTCGTATTTGTATATTCTAATGGCTTATGACAAAAGTTGCCTATGCAGGTCCACGTCGTCGTATTGACCCTAATATAACAACTACATTCGCTATTTTTACGATTATAACAGAATTTTTAACGGATTATATTGTTTTTTTGAGAATAGCCAAATTCGTTTCAAATGGCGGAGGGTATTCAAAGTTCGGTCCGGCCGAACTTACAGCTTTTTTTACATGTTAAAAAATCAAAATGTGTATAACACTGTACAACACAACATATACACGTGCCTTGACTTTATGTGAAACTATGAAATTTGTCATTCTAATCTCCACCAATCCCAAATATTTAAGTATCTGATACCAATAGAGACCTCAATACGGAATTTTGGGATTCTAGCTCTATCCCTTCACCTAATACCCATTTTTGTACCACTTGGTACTTTTCGAACACATTTGAAAAATAACATCCATATCTCACTCCCAGATGCCAAGAGAGGACTCCAAACCTATCCCTTCACCCGATATCATATGAAATATCACATTTCCAAAACCATCTCCATATCTCAAATTCAGATACCAACAGAGGCGTCAATATCAAATTTAGTACTTTTTGAACAATTATAGTACACATTTCACATTTTTTCACGAATTTCGGGATTACAGCTCTATTCCATCACCATATACCTAATTTAGTACCGCTTAGTAATTTTCGAATAATTATAGTATACATTTCCAAAATTACTCTTATATTTCAATCCCAAATACCAACAGATACCTCAATATCACATTTCGGTATTCCAGCTCTAACCCTTCACCCAATACCCAATTTAGTAGATATGGAATAAATTTTTGGGAATAATTGTTAATTGTTGCTTTAAGCCTTTTTTGTGTGGGTGGAGTACTAGAAGGATTGAGATAAATTCCATAATCGCATCAGATCTTTGGCCTATGGGAAAAGTAAAATTTTTTAGAACTATTCAAAATTTTGTCCCATTGTTGGGTGGTACAAGAAGATGAGGACCATTATTTCACATCTTCACATCTGATATTGTGTTTATAAAAATATTGGGATTTGTGAAATTTGAAGAGAATCGGATGTTGATTTCGCATTTGATGAGTGATGTGCCAGAGGGAGTGGCTCTATCTCTACCATATTTATAATAGATCTTGTGTTGACGGAAATATTGAGTTGTACTAAGTCTGAATGGAATCGGATAGTAATTCCGCGTTTTATGAGCTTCGTGGACATTGAACATTTTGAGGTACCAGATGAAGAGAACCTGATACTTATTTCGTATTTTTTAATCGTTTTGGTTATTCAAAACGTTGACCCTTGACCCAGAAGGAATCGTCCGATATCTACCCTCTTTATTAAAGATCGTGTGGTGATGGAAATATTGAGATGTTTAAAGTCTGAATGGAATCGAATATTAGTTTCGCGTTTTATGAGTTTCATGGACATTCAAAATGTTGACCATTTGTGGGGGAGGTACCAGAAGAAGTGGACCGAAATATTCCATCTTCACAGTAGATCTTCTGTTAGTAGAAATAATGGGTTGTGTGAAATATGAAGAGAACGTGATGCTTATTTCGGATTTTATTATAGTTTTGTTCATTCAAAACTTTGACCCTTTGTTGGAGAGAGGTTCCAGAAGGAGTGGACCGATATTTTCCATCTTCACACAAGACCATGGTTTAATAAAAATATTGTATTGTATGTAATTTAAAGACATCGGACTCTTACATCACATTTTATAAAAGTAAAAATTGCTCACAATGTGACTCTTTGTGGGAGGTGTTTGATGGAGTGAGATTTACAAGGTTTACACAAAATCGAATGATCCGAATTCTCTTTCTATGAGGTAAATTGTTTTCATTGAAGATTTAGACCTTTTGTGGAGAGAGGTACCAGAAGGTGTGAACCGATATTGTCGATCAAAGTTTAACAATAAAATTACGATACTCGCTTCGAGGGTTAAGTTGAGTATCGCCCATTGATTGACTCCAAATATCCTGGAACGGATTTTGTCCAAAGGTACCTGGAGTATAAATCCGTTATTTCGTTGAGGCACGATTTGGCCGTTTTAAATGATAAATACCCTCTGCAGCCATATGACTAAGGATGTGAAAATAGGTAGAGCTCAAAGATGAACTATTTAAGCACATACTTTCAGGAAAATCCTCCCCTCCTTTGGGGCACCAAATTGATCCATACTTAAAATTTGTCTGATCGAAGAAAATCGGACTCATTTCCTACTTTTTTCAAATTAATGAAGTATATTGGTATACTGGCCTATTCGCCCAGACTCATTAAGTAAAAATTCCGAAATGTAATGGTCAACCCTCGTAAATATTTGACAGTAAATGTACTCGATTTATTATCTCCATGTTCAAAAAATAAAACTTCCCTTTACCTATCCCGCCAATAATCCATCGACACGTTTCATTTCACTCAAAACATCGCCATTTACAACATCCTTAACATTATAACCCAACACGAAGTCCATATGGGCAAAGTTATTCAAATCAATAAAATGCCGAACACTCTTATTACCCAAAAGTGTGACCAAGTGTTCTACATCCTCCTTTGCTGAAAAGGTATCATCTTTGCTGTGATACAAATGTAGAGGGAAGCGAGGATTGATATTCACCAATTGGTAATCCGGTGGAGTTGTCTGATTATAACGCTGCTCATTTCCCTTCGTGCCAAAATCGAATTGACGAAAATGACCCGACTTGTAGAGTTGGACAAAGTGAATGGCCTGGTTCATCGAACAACGAGCCGGGTGAGTACTGTAGAAATCTGGATAGACATTCTATTTTGAAAAAAAAAAATAAAATAAAATTTTAGTTAGAGTACCAAAAATTGGGAATTTGTCCCTCCTACTTCCAGAGTGTAATCCGAACGACCACCAAAACCCACAAAGAATAGATAGGGACAAATGAAGAGCGCACCCTCGGTTCGACGACAACTCTCAAATCCCAATATGTTGCGTATGAACACATTCTCCAACAGGGATGTGTCTCCAAACCAGGGTGTTATAAATGAATAGCTACCGAACGGTAACGACAAAGCTCTTATCATTGTCGAACGGCTATTTTCCATAAATGACACGGGAGCCAGTAGATGTACGGATCTCAGTTTTTCACTATACTCCGGATACGTGGATAATAAAACCAAAATTACTGTTGTACCCTGAGAGTGTCCCACATAATGGAGTGTCCCTTGTTGCGTTGCCTCCAGAACATAATCAATGATGTTGGGTAAATCCACTACGGCAATTTCATGCCATGAGAAACGCCAATATTCACGTGAATTCAGTGATAGCTTTGGATGATAACCTCCATAGGGGTTACCCCTGGTATTAGCCAACCATACATCATAGCCATTTTCAACTAAAGCATAGGCCAAAAGATCAGGAACACCTTTGAGTACCCACAAATCGGATGAACTAAGCAAGCCATGCATTAGCAAGGCAACAGGTCGCTGTGTATGGCTCGGTTCACTGGGTTTCTTTATGCGAAATAGGGTAAGTCGGAACCCGTCCCTGGTTGTTACATTATACGATTCACTAAGATAGCCAGCACTTTTTACACGATCCGCCTGGAACATAAATATCGAGATGTTAATTTTTTTTAATGGAAAAATATTAGGCAATTTTGGCTTACAGTTGTCTCAGCTCCTACATTTTTAAGTTTCAAAAACGCCACCGAAATTAATATAAGTATTGAGTTTTTCATTAAAAGTCCTCCTAAAGTTTTTATAACTTGTTAAAAACGTTCTGGCAAAGCTTTAAAAAATGCCACGAATATATAGAACGAAAATCTCTTCAAAAACCATTAAAAATTTTATGAAAAATAGTCGTGTTCAATAAAAATTGGAGTAAAATAATTAGTTTTTAAAAGAAAACGTCATTTAACGTCGTACGTATGTTGAAAATTTGCAGGAGGGACAGTCTTGGTGCGGATACGTGTGACAAGGCATGATTTTTGGAAATTCGCACCAAAAAGGTAATAAAATTACTAAAATGTGCTAAAAATTTAATACTTTGTATTGGATAGATGAAATGTGGAATGAGAGTTACTGATGAAATGCAGGATAGATTTACTAAGGGTTTTTGGAAATGCAAACTTTACGGTTATGAATAGTTCTAAATTTGGTATTATATGAACGGATGAAGCTAAAAACTTGAAATTCGGTATGAAAATCAAGGTTAGAAGGTTGATAAGGTGGTCTTGGAAGTGTGTACTAAGTGTGCAAACTGTACTAAATGGTACTAAATTTTGGAACAGTTTGGTATGGGGTGAACGAATGAAAGTGGAATTTTTAAATTTTGTGCTGGTGGTAGGTTTGTGACCGTTATATGGGGGCTATATGAAGACGTAGACCTACATGGCTCATTTTTTGACTTAGGATGTAGCATCCATTACGAACTTCAAATAGCAAATTTGGAACGATTTCGTTAAATAATGTCGCTAAAATCATCAAAATAACGAATATGGTGGGGGGTACCGTTATATGGGGGCTATAAGAAGACGTGGACCTGTACAGATAATTTTCTGTCTTAGGTTGTAGTATCCATTACGAACTTCAAATGCCAAATTGAAAACAATTTCGGTGAATAAAGTCGCTAAAATCATCAAAATACCGAATATCGGGAGGTACCGTTATATGAGGGGTAATTGATAACTTGGACCTACATGGCCCATTTACGAACTTAACCTTAACCTACTGGCAAAATATACATGTGTGCAAAATTTTAGTCTTCTATCTCAATTTGTTCGAAAGATAGCGTGATTACAACACACAGACAAACAGACGGACATGGCTAAATCGTCTTAGAATTTTACGCTGATCAAGAATATATATACTTTGTTGGGTCTGACATGAGTATTTCGAGGAGTTACAAACGGAATGACAAAATTAATATACCCTCCATAGTATGGTGGAGGGTATAAACATGTCGGAAATAGCATTAAATTTTAGAATAAGTTTAGATTTGTTCGAATTGGTCACCTTTGGCACGAATTATGGCCTTCAAACGGCCAATGAAACCGTCATACGCTGCCGGAATGTTGCTCTGTGGTATTTTGGCCCATTCCCGGCAAAGCTCTTCCTTGAGGTGATCGACAATTTGGTATTTTGTAGTGCCAACCTTGCTTTCCAAAATACTCCAGACACAAGAGTTCAATGGATTGGTTTCTGGAGATTTTGGGTGGCCATTGTGTGCTGGAAATGAATCGAGGAACATCATTTTGTGAACATTCTTGGGTGGCGCGTGCTAAGTGCGATGGTGCTGAGTCCTGTTGAAATGTCCAAGGTCTGCGGCCAAAATGTTTGCGTGACCAAGGCTTTATAATATACTCTCCAGAATATTCTGATGTCACGGTCGATTAATACGAGCGGAGAGCGACCATCGGCTGTTATGGCGGCCCACACCATCACCATGGCCGGCGCTTGAGTTCGGGTGGCCAACCGAAGGTGCAAATTTTCAGCTGACCTCTTTGCCAAGTAAACACGATCAATTTGTTTGTTTACAAACTGCTGGAAAACGAATGTTTTCTCATCGGAGAAAATCAAATTCGGCAGTTCACCACTTTCGGCCAAGCGAAACAACTCTTTAGCTCTTTTCAGTCGATTTTCTTTCTGTTGCGGTGTAAGTTCTTGCACTTTTTGGAATTTTATTGGCTTTACCCCGAGCTCATTTTTCAATATTTCCCGAATGGAATATTGCGATAAATTCAGCTCAAGAGCCATTTTCGGCCACTGCGGCGCGATCAAGTCGATTCTTTACTTTTCGAACCATTTCTGCTGACGTTGCTGTTTTCTTCCGTCCACTTCCTTGACGTCGGGATACTCTACCAGTATCACGATCGTAACGAGCGATGGTACGAGACGCAAAAGATTTATTCACATTTAAATGCTGGAGTGCTTTAACGATAGTCACTTGTGGTTATCCTGCCAAATATTAAGAAATCTCACTATCACGCCTGAATTCCATCACGAATAATTTTTTTCTGAGATATTTGTACGCTTGTCAACAATATAGTGAGCTGTCACTGGAATAATTTTACCAGCTGTCAGACGAGTAGCTTAGAAATGACAGCAGTCTGAAGTTGGTTGCAGTTTTTTCATCTCACCCTGTGTAGTTCTTGAAATGTGATATTTAGTATTAGGATCACCGTTTATGTGTAGCCTGCACATACTGATGTGGTTTCGAAAATGTGTATTATATTTGTACGGAAAGTACTAAATGGTACTAAATTTGGTATTGGGCCAAGGAATAGAGCTGAAATCCGGAAATATGTTGTTGGTATTTTGAATTGAGATATTGTGGCGGTTTTGGATATGAATACGAAAATTATAAAATATCACTAAATCTATTATTGTTTGAAGGAATAGGGCTGAAATCCTGAAATTTAATACAGATATCACTATTAGTGTTGATGGTTAAGATATGGAGCTGGTTTTGAAGATGTGTACTTCCAAAAGTACTAAGTGCTACTAAATCGGGTATTGGGTGATGGAATAGAGCTGGAATCCCAAAATATGATATTAAAATCACTGTGGGTATCTGAGGTTAAGATATGGAGATCTTTTTGGAAATGCGTTCTATAACTATACGAAATGAACTAAATGCTACTATCTTTGGTATTGGGTGAAGGGATAGATATAAAATTCTTAAATTTGATATTGGGATTACAGACGGAATATTTGTCTGAGATTTAGCGTAAAGAAGTAAATGTTACTAAATTTGGTATTGGGTGTCACTATTGTTGTCTGTAGCTGAGAGCTAAAAGTACGAATAGTGCAAAATGGCACAAAATATGCCGTTCGATGTTGTGTTCGATCTGAAATTTGATATTGAGGTCACTTACATTTGAGGACGTAAAATAATTTTAGTATAAATTTGATTGTGGTCCTTTGCTATGGGTTGACTAATATCCTCCTCCAAATGAAAGAGTTTGAAGACTTTTTGATGTAAAAAAGTAAGCATTTTCTTATTATTCTTTCCGAAAAAGGAAAAACTTGAACAATTTTTAAAACTTTGAAAGTCTGAAAATTTAGTACGAATTTAGTATGATTAAAAAAAAAAACAGTTAAAAAATGCCGGGCCGAACTTTGAATACCCTCCACCATTTAAAACGAAATTTTCAAAAAAATAAAATCTGTTAAAAATTCTTTTAAAATCTTAAAAATACCAAATATAGGAAATCGTCATTATATTGGGGTCTATACAAAGACGTGGAATGGCAAAGACAACGTTTGTTATAAGCCATTATAATATTCAAATACGAAACTTCAAAAAAAAAAAATCCGTTGAATAATATAACTAAAATCATCAAAATACCGAATATAGAGAGATACCGATATAGGAGGGCTATACAAAGATCTGTACCTGCATAGATAATTTTCTGTCACAGGCTGTAATACCAATTAGCAACTTTAAATGCGAAATTTCTAACAATTCCTGTAAATAAATTCTCTAAAATCATCAAAATACCGAATATAGGCAGGGGTACCGATATAGGAGGGCTATACGAAGACCTGGACCAATTTTCTGTCATAGACTGTAATTCCCATTACGAATTCTAAATGCGAAATTTAAAGCAACTCCTGTGAATAATATCGCTTAAATCACCACAATACCAAAAATTGGGAGGTACCGTTATTTGGAGGCTATACAAAGACGTAGACCTGCATAGACAATTTTTTGTCATAGGTACCCTATAAGAATTCTAAATACGAAATTTGAAACAACTCCGGTGAATAATATCCCTAAATTCGTATCGAATAGCGGGGGCTACTGTTGTATGTGGGTACGATATCGGGGACCTATGTAACATTTATCTTCAACGGGAGCAAAGTTCTCAGAAGGAACTCCTGGTGTGGACTTTTAGACAATTTCATTGAAAAGTTTGGCTACAAACATAAATATGCCGAATATCGGACAGGGCTTAAAATTTTACGCTGATTCAGAATATATATACTTTGTTGGGTCTAAAACTATCATTTCGATGAGTTACAAACGGAATGGCGAACTTAGTATGTGGTGGGGCGTGTAAAAACTATTTGTTCGTGTAATATGGTGTAGCAATCGAATACAGGGTTGCCCATATTCGACGGACCCATCTGGCAACGCCATAACTTTTGACAGAGATGTCACATCGCTTAATGACATACCGCGTTTGAAGCGTCAGTCAAAGCAGATTTTTACCATGAACCAATTCACGCCACGCGAGCGCTCTGAAATAGTTGAAATTTACATTCAACAGAAGAAGTCAATTGTGAAAAAAATGTGAGAAGTGCGCCTTCTAAGAACACCATTAAGCGTTTATACGAAAAATTTTCGACTGGTAAGGCTCTTTCTAATCCGAAGAGGCCATATAAAAGTCGACCAAGGCGATCGGCCGAGAATATCGCTGCCGTACGAGCCAGGATTGAGAGGTCCCCAAGAACATTCCAAAAACGCCGTTCTCAGCAGTTAGGCATGGCTCGGCCCACTTTACAACGGATTATTCGCATTGATTTGCATTTGTTCCCGTACAAAATTCAATTGACGCAAAGAACGTTGCCTGCGGACAAGCCTCGTCGATTGGAATGGGCCCAAGGAGTCATCGAAATGGCCGAAGATGACGAGCAATTTTAGAACAAAATTATCATGTCCGATGAAGCCCATTTCTCATTGAATGGGACCGTAAATAAGCAAAATTGCCGTTTTTACGCCACTGAAAATCCTTAGGAGATTCAAGAAGTGCCTTTTCATGACGAAAAAGTCACAGTTTGGTGCGGCGTTAGTGCGAAAACGGTCATTGGGGCGTTTTTCTTCCAAAATGAAAATGGCCATGCTGTTACCATCAATCAGGAGCGTTATCGCGACATGATGACCAATTTTGTGATGCCAATTATTCGTCGAAAGCGTATGAGGCAGTTCTGATTTCAACAAGACGGCGCTCCACCGCACACAAGTTGCATAACAATCGATTTTCTGAAGAATTTGTTTCCGGGCCGTTTGATATCGAAAAGTGGTGATTTGGAGTGGCCACCGCGTTCGCCCGATTTGACGCCGCCTGACTTCTTCTTGTGGGGATATTTGAAGTCAAAGGTTTACGTTCACAAGCCAAGGACCGTAGAAGAGCTCAGGGCAACATTCGTGAAGAAATAGCCGCTATTCCGGCCGAAATGTTGGCAAAAACGATGGAAAATGCAGCAAAAAGGGCACAATACGTCATCAACGCCAGAGGCGGCCATTTGAGAGATATCATATTCAAAAATTGATGTAAACAAATCTACTTGGAACAAATTAAATGATTAACATTGCCAACCGCCAAAATTTTATTTTTTTTCTTTGATTAAAAAAAAAAAAAAAACATGGGTCCGTCGAATATGGGCAACCGTGTAGAATAGAACCCCGCCATAAATATAAGCTTGACCTATGGCAAAATATTCCAACCGATTTCCTTAAATACTCACCATAAACTAAAATGATTATTATAACATCAGGCCCCTGAGGCCCTTTGATTACAGAACCATATATTTTAATACTGATTTCGCGCGGCAATGCGATATAACACTTTATGCTTTTGTCCTAATATTTTTTCTCAATTCAGCTTTTCTCATATCCAGCTTTACACTATTGTATTATTTTTAATCACTAACTGTTCTTCAATATCTTCCATGACTTTCAAAATAGGCTGATTTATAACCTCGTTTATATTATTGCCCCATATAAAATCGATGTGCGCGAAATCCTTCAAATCGATGTAATGATCAACACTACGATTACCTAAAATTCTGCTCAATTTTTCAATATCTTTACGCGTTGCCAACTCATCAAAATCGCTGTAATACAAATGAAGAGGATGGCGAGTTTTAATATTCTCCAGAGGATATCGGGGTGGTGTTGAGTTACTATAGCGCTGCTTATTACCCTCCGCACCATAATCATATTGGCGAAAGTGACCCGATATTTTCAACTGTATATAGTGTATGGCCTGGTGTGTGGAGGACGGTGCTGGATGTGTGGCATAGATATCCCTCAGAAGGGCCTGACAAGAGTAAAATTATGTTTCAAAATTATTCTGATGCTAATATTTTTTTTCCAATACTTACATTATTAAAATATCTGGAATATCCTCCACCCACAAAATATAGCAGCGATGCACAATATTCAGGACTAGCATTGCCATTACGACAATTATCCAGACCAAAAATTTGATGTAAAATCGGAATTTGCATCAGAGGTGTGTCACCCAACATTTCATTTAATTGAGTATTACGACCAAATACCGGAGCCAAAATCTGAAACACTGGGGCTCGCACATTTGCCATAAATGCTGCTGGAGCCAATAGATGAACTGATTTCAGCATCTCATTATACTGCGGCTGAGTAGAGAGCAGGACCAACATTATGGTACAACCCTGAGAGTGGCCTATATAATGCATCGAAGATTGATGAGTTTTTTGTATGATATAATCCATCATTGTGGGCAAGTCAATCGAACCAATCGCATGCCAGGAAAAACGCCAAAATTTCCTTTCATCATTTGTCATTTGGAGGTGACGACCGCAATAGGTATTGCCTCGAGCATTGCCCAACCAAACATCATAACCCTTGTCAGCCAATTGAAAAACCAAAGCATCTTTTAGGCCTTGTATCACCCAGCAATCTGAAGAACTCATAAGACCATGCATCATTAGTACTACAGGACTATTCGTCTTCGTTTTCTTTCCTGCAGAATTTTTTATACGGAATATGGTCAATTGATAACCATCCGAGGTGGTCAGCTCATGAGTTTCACTCAAGTAGCCAGCATCTTCTATGCGATCAGCCTGTCAGCAAAAAATTTGATATTTTCAAAATTGAGGAAATATATATCACCCACTTACCGTTGTATCAGCCGTTGTTGATTCCTGAAATTTTGAAATTAGAAAAATTAAACCCACAATTATCACCGTTTTCATGACTCGAATCGTGACTGACTCAATTGATAAACCGTTAAAAATATAATGAAAACTTAGATGGGTTTGTTCTGTAAAATAAGTGTTTATTTGTTAAACGAACAGAATGATAGACAGACACACACCAGTTGTCATCGATATAAATTGAATACGATTTGAAAAATGAAGTTTATTTATTGAAATAAAAAAAAAACACTGAGAAAAATAGAATTTCATTTGAAAGTTATGGAAGCGAGGTTCATGAAAGTTGAGTGTCTAAGGAATATTTGTTTAGAACTAGGCGACGTATCATAAAGTCGCCGTACCCTAGCGTTTGATATCCATATGGAAAAATTATTAATTTTGAATATTGCTGAATATTGTTATCCTATTTTGAAAATAAATTTGCAAACTTAAAAAAAAAAAAGAAACAAGTATAAAAGCTGTTAGTTCGGCCGGACCGAACCTTGCATACCCTCCACCACTTGGTACATATTTAACAATTAAAAAAAATAAAATCCGATAAAAAAAACTGTTAAAATCTTAAAAATACCGAAAATGTCCCATAGAACTATTGGGATTTGTGAAATTTGAAGGTAATCAGATGCTTACTATGCATTTGTTTTGGTTATTCAAAATTTCGACCCTTTGTGGGGGAGGTACCATACATGCTCAATTTTCACTCTAGATCTTGTGTTAGTGGAAATATTGAGATGAGTGGAAATTGAACAGCATCGGATGATTATTTTGGAAATTATAAGAGTTATAATTATTCAAAATGTTGACCCGTTAGTGGGAAAGTACCAGAATGAGTGATCTAATATATTTTACTTTCACACCTTATTATATGGTGATAGAAACATTGGGATGTGCTAAGCCTGAAAATAATCGGATGCTCATATCGCATTCTATGAGCTTCATGGATATTTAAATTTTTTGACCTTCTGTGCGGCAGGTACCAGAAGGAGTGGACCGATATAATCCATCTTCATGCCAGACCTGTGGTTAATACAACTTTTGTGATGTGTGTAATTTGAAGACAATCAGGCAAAACTTATATAACACCTCGAAATATTGGTTTCCCACATAGGCAAGTGTATATGGATCTTCCTATCTCGCCGAACTGAGTCGATCTAACTATGTGTGTCCGTCTGTCCATTTTAATTTGTAATCACGCTACAGGTCGCAATTATGGCCCGATCCTCACGAAATTGAAAATGGAGGTGGGGTTAATGTCAGAATAGAATCCTATTGTTTTTTTAGGTCATCGCATAATAATTAGGGGTTGAAATGGACCAAAAACAGAAAAAATTCTTAATTTTTCACTTTCTCTACATGCCGCAATTACAGACCATTCATCGTGGAATTTTGCATGGAGTTAGAATTTAGGACTGGGCAGAAGCGTACCATTTTGGATGGTCATCGGACCATAAATTAAACCACGAATATTTTTAAATCCATCGAAGTCACAAATAGACGAAAAAGAGGGGCATGTTGCTTTTGGAGACGATCGCAAAATATTTAAGGGTTCAAATGAACCAAAAACAGACATTTTTTCCTAATCACACAAATGAAACCAATGGACAAGGAATTTTGCCTAAGGAGAGAGTTAAGGACAGCGAAGAAGCCTAGTATTTGGTTGACCATTGGATTATACTTGGCTGTAAAATGGACTACACACGACGGAGTGCGTAAATATTGGGCAAATGCCCCTAGTCAAAAAGCTAAGGGTAATATTTGGACAATGGTCTATGACATAATTTCCAAAGCGAAGTTTTCCAAAATGGATTTGGACATAAAGGGACTTCTTGTAGGGTATCACATGGTCGGCCCGCACGACTATAGCCTGTACTTACTTTGGAAAAAATAAAGTAAACCAAATTATGCTTTTTAATTTTACTTTTCGATGTAAATTTTCAAGAAGTCAGTTTCCTTGTGAATTATTGAGCACTCTATGCTTTGAAGGATACCCAGCTTCAAATTATTGAATTTAATTTTTAAGGCGAAAATTGTCTGTAGCATTAATCTGATGTCTGATGATATTTTCGAATTTCTATTCCAAAATGGAATGGATTCGTGTATCATCAATAAGCATATTTATATAATAAGTGGTAAATATATCCCTTAAACCCCGGATTGGTTCGAGTCTCTATATGTTTTTTTTTTTTCTAAATTCTCTAAGATTTCTTACTCACTCACAATGGATTCATCTTAAATATCATTTACATACAATGCTAATTTTCGTTAAGTGCTCGATTATTAATTCCACCATGATTTATGGAAGACGACACTAATAGCTGCAGTAAGCTGACACTTACTAACTAGAGTCGTGAGCAGGATGTTGGATGTTTTGATTAATTTTGTCAAGTGTAGAAGATCGCATGCCATCTTCGATTTCTACACAATCGCGATTCAATAAATTTCGTTTTATAAAAAAAATATAAAGTTATTTTCAATTACACAAATGTTAATTATATGTATTTAGATGTGATATGTTGTGGTGTAGATCTAATGCTGACATAGCGAAAATTTTCAACCGCATTAACACTCCAGCCAGGGGTGAATTATGTGATGATGATCTTATAGAATTCAACACTAAGATTGATTTATTTAATATAATATTTATATTAGTAAAATCATTTGACAAAGTTCTTTGAAATTTAATACATATTCAATGAGATTATAGTTTGCAGTAAAGAATGCAATATTCTACTGGTTTAGTAGTCAAATGTATGCCTAGAAAAATCAGTTGGGTGGATCGTTAACCGAGACCAAATCTAGCTTTCGACTGTGTACTGAAAGTATAAATCAGAATATTTCGCGATCTAAAGAAGATTATTTTAATGGCTAGGGAAAATGAATACATAAATGTTGTTTAAAATTGTGGCATTATCGATCCTTGTATATTTACATCCACGATTATAGCTCAATGTTCTTTGACAAATGTTCTTAAAAATCTAGTAGTGGATACAATGGTCCTTTAAAAATCTTTAATAAAAGAATCCTATCAAAATTATAGCTGCAAATGCAGGGTGAGATAAAAACTGCAACAAAGTCAAACACCATAATTTTTACATTTTTTTAAATTTTATTGAATGAAAGCAAAAAATGTCGGAAATAGCATAAAATTTTAGAATAAGTTTAGATTTGTTCGAATTGGTCAACTTTGGCACGAATTATGGCCTTCAAACGGTTAATAAATCCGTCACACGCTGTCCGAATGTTGCTCTGCGGCATTTTGGCCCATTCCCGGCGAAGCGCTTGCTTGAGGTGATCTACACTTTGGTATTTTTTTGTGCTAAAAATACCAAAATACTCCAGACACAATAGTTCAACGGATTGGTATCCATTGTATGCTGGAAATGAAGCGAGGAACCTCATTTTGTAACAATTTTTGGGTGGCGCGGCGACGTGGAGAGCGAACATCGGCTGTTATGGCGGCCCACACCATCACCATGGCCGGCGCCTGCGTTCTGGTGGCCAACCGAAGGTGCACATTTTCAGCTGACCTCTTTGGCAAGTAAACACGATCATTTTGTTTTTTACAAGCTGCAGGACAACGAACCATACCATACTATAGAGGGTATATTAACTTTGTCATTCCGTTTGTAACTCCTCGAAATACTCATGTCAGACCCAACAAAGTATATATATTCTTGATCAGCGTAAAATTCTAAGTCGATTTAGCGATGTCCGTCTGTCTGTTGTAATCACGCTATCTTTCGAATGAATTGAGATAGATGGCTAAAATTTTGCACACATGTTTTTTTTTACAGTAGGCAGGTTAAGTTCGTAAATGGGAAATGTAGGTTCACGTTTTCATATAGCCCCCATATAACGGTACCTCCCGATATTCGGTATTTTGATGATTTTAGCGATATTATTCACCGGAATTGTTTCAAATTTGGTATTTAAAGTTTGTAATAGATGCTACAGCCTAAGACACAAAATTGTCTGTGCAGGTCCATGTCTTCGTATAGCCCCCATATAACGGTACCTCACTATGTTCGGTATTTTGATGATTTTAGTGACATTTTTCACGGGAATTATTTCAAATTTGGTATTTGAAGTTCGAAATGAATACTACATCTTAAGACAGAAAATTGTTTGTGCAGGTCCACGTCTTCCTATAAGGGTATTTCCCAATATTCGGTATTTTAATGATTTTAGCGTCATTATTCACCAGAGTTGTTTCAAATTACGTATTTGGAGTTCGGTTTGAGAACTACAATCTGTGACAGAAAATTGTCTATGTAGGCCCACGTCTTCGTATAGGCCCCATTTATCAGTACCTCCCTATATTCGGTATTTTGACGATTTTAGGTACAATACCCATCGAAATTGTTTGAGATGTGGTATTTGAAGTTCGTAATGGATGCTACAGACTGTGACAGATAATTGTCTATGCAGGTCCAGGTCTTCGCACAGCTCCGATATAGCGGTACCTCCCTATATGCGATATTTTGACGATTTTAGCTACATTATTCACTGTTTCGAGTTTGAATATGGTAATGGCTTATGACAAACAATGCCTACGTAGTTCCACGTCGTATAGACCCCAATATATTTGGTATTTTTTAAAATTTTAACAGAATTTCTTATGAATTTTATTTTTTGAAAATTTTTAAATTCGTACCAAAAGGTGGAGGGTATTCAAAGTTCGGCCCGGCCGAATTTACTGCTTTTTAACTTGTTTTATATTGCGGTGTAAGTTCTTGCATTTTTTGGAATTTCAATGGCTTTCCCCCAAGCTCATTTTTCAATATTTGCCGAATGGAATATTGTGATATGTTTAGCTCACGAGCCATTTTTCTGCTGATGTTGCTCTTTTCTTCCATCCACATCCTTGACGTCGGGCTAAGCTACCTGTATTACGGTAAAGAGCGATGGTACGAGAGACAAAAGATTTATTCACATTTAAATGCTGGAGTGCTCTAACGATAGCCACTTGTGGTTTTCCAGCCAAATATAAAGAAATCACAGTATCACGCTTGAATTCCATCACAATTAACTTTTTTTTCTTGAAAATTCTCACCGAAATGCTTTTGTGGCCTTGTATGAGCTGTGACTGGAATAATTTTAACAGCTGTCGAACGAGTGACTTAGAAATGACAGCAGTCTGAAATTGGTTGGAGTTTGTTCATCTCGCCCTGTGGGCCGGAAAAATGTAATAAATAGATATACATGATTATAACTTCTATAACGGTCCTTTGAAATATTTAATTTGCAAATATCCTTTAAAACAAGAACATCTCAAACTTCAGGATTAGAGTTACTACGTCACTCAAAAAATATTTAAAATCCACGAATAAAACATTTTATTAAAAATTTAGTATTTAGTTATTTCAATAGAGAATCCTTCATTTTCGCCTAATAAAGCAAACATTTGATCATAAATTTATGATTAAACGATGTTAGTAAAACTAAAATATTTTGTAAAAATATCCCCAAAAAATGTTTTATTCATGTTTTTTTTTTTTTTTTTTGTTGTAAAATCAGAAAAATAATGATTTTATTTGATTTATTTTATAAAATACAGAATTAATTTTTTTTAATATCTTGTTTAATATAATTCACAATTAATGTTTTTCGGTTTTTGTGTTAATTATGCTTTTATTGGTTTTTGAAAAAATACTTTAAAAAATAATAATGGATCTTGAAAAAAAGTCCTTACAAATCCACGACCTTTAAAAAGGATAAATTTTTATTTATTGTTATTCTAATTTTTAAATTATAATTCTTAAACATATATCACATAATTTTTATTTTTTATGACCTAATCTTGAAGTGCGTTACTCGTTGAGACCTTCCCTTTGCAGTATTACCTCAGCATCATTTGTAATTTCCAGAATACGATCGTTGATGACCTCCTTCACATTCGAGGCCCAAAGAAAATCAATGTGAGCGAAATTCTTCAGTGGTATATAATGAGCGCCAACTCGTTTTCCCATAATTCCAATTAATTTTTCAACATCCCTTGCAGCGGATAGTTCATCATAGTTGCTGTAGTATAAATGCAAAGGAAAACGTGTGCTGATATTGGCCAAATTATAATCGGGTGGTGTTGTTTGGTTATAACGTTGCCTATTGCCCTCAATACCAAAATCATATTGACGAAAATAGCCAGAGACTTTCAGTTGAATATAGTGTATGGCTTGATGTGTAGAGGCCGGAGCAGGATGGGAGTCATAGGCGTCCTTTAAGAGAGACTGAAAGAAAACAAAAAAAATAAATATGTAAAACTTATAAATCAACAGTGACCTCAATATCAAATAACAGCTCCCCATTACAAAATTTAGTATCATTGTGTATAATTATCCGTGTGGGCTTATCCTAAAACAGCTCCTTCTCTCAACCATTGAGAGCTATGATCATTTTAAAATTCTTATAATTTCACACTTAAACACCGAAAACTCAATATTTAAAGAGTTATGGTCATTTCATAATTTTTATTAATTCACAATTTAAAAAGTGATCACAAATAATAGCTAAAAACGCTGTAAACTCAATATTTAAGGAGTTATGGCCATTTTAAAATTCTTATTAATTCACACTTTAAAACGTGATCACAAATAATAGCTAAAAACGCCTGTGATTCCATTGACACAATCAGAGACATACATTTCAAATTGCAGGATTTCAGCTCCATTCTTTTACCCAATACCAAATATAATACCATTTATTGCTGTCCATACAATTGTATTACACATTTCAAAAATCACCTCCACATCTTAATTTCAAATACAAAGGGAAACCTCATTATCCCTTTCACCCAATATCAAATATATTTCATTTTAGTATTTTTCGAACAGCTATAGTACTCATTTCCAACCAACCTCCAAACCTCAACCTCAGATACCAACAGTGATCTAAATTTCAAATTTAAGAACTTTATCTCTTTGTCTTCAAACAAGACTACCTTAGAACCATTTAGTACTTTTCGTACAATTATAGTGCATATTTCCGATACCACATACTAATTTCCAGGCTACAAATGAACAGCGACCCTAATATAAAATTTCACCATTTCAGCTCTATCCTTTCACCCAATACCAAATTTAGTTCAATTTAGTACTTTTCGTACAATTATAGTACACATTTCCGAAACAACCTCTATATATCAAACTTTCAACCTCGATTCTCATACCAAAAAATGTAGCTCTAATTGTTCATCTAATACCAAATGGTATCATTTTAGATGTTAAATACCATTTCAAAATATTTCGAAACCTTAAAGTTCGATTTTCCAAAAACCCTTTGGTACCTCTATCCAGCACTCCATCAGTGAATTGACTTTCATTCCAAACTTCTGAATTTTAGCTCATTCCGTTTGTCCACCACAAATTTTTTAATTTTTAGATATTTTGGCACTTTTCGTACCCGTTTATAAAAACATATTAAATGAATTAATTTCAGAACTTCGGCTCAAATTCAATTTCTACAAAATTTAGTACCATTTAGTGCCCATTAGTACGAATTTCCAAACATACGCCAATCCTACTCTACCACAGTGATCCCAATTCCAAATTTCAGATTCCACCTCTATCGGTTCGCTCAAATACATAGTTTAGCAAATATAGCACTACTTGAATATTCCATAATCCTACACTTCAACAGTCATCCTAATTCCAAATTTCAGGATTCCAGGCCTATCGGTTCACCCAAATCCTAATTGCTCCAAATTTAGCACTATTTAGTACACATAAGTACGCATTTCACTCCCACCGTAAGCCCAATTCCAAAGTTTAGTATTCCATCCTTATCGGTTCGCCTGAATACAAATTTTAAAAAATTTTGTACCATATAGTACAGATTTCCAAAACTTCATACATATCCCAATCCTGCACCTCAATAGTAATCTTGATTCCAAATTCCAGGATTCCAGCTCTGTCGTTTCGCCTAAATCCAAATTGTACAAAATTTAGTAAATTTTGGTACATATATATACGATTTTCCAAAACTTCCTACATAATCCAATCCTATACTCCGACAGTAATCTTATTTCCAAATTTCAGGACACCATCTCTATTGATTAACCCAATTAATCGCCTAAAACAAATTATACCAAATTTTGTACCATATAGTACAGATAAGTATGCATTTTCAAAACTTCCTACATAACCAAATACTGTACTCCAACAGTAATCCAAATTTCAGGATTACATCTCTATCAGTTCGCATAAATCCAAATTGTACCAAATTTAGTACATATAAGTACAAATTTCCAAAACAACCTACATATCTCAATCATACATTCCGACAGTAATCTTATTTCAAAATTTCAGGTTACCAGCTCTATTTTTTTTAACCAAATCCAAATTGTACTAAATTTAGTACTTTTTAGCACACTTAAGTACACATTTTCAGAACAATAGAAGTTTTATTTCCAAATTTTTGGATTCCAACTCTACTGGTTCATTCAAAATTTAAATTGTACAAAATTTTGTACCATTTAGTACCCGTAAGTACGAATTTTCAAAACTACCTTCATACCCCAGCCCTACGATTCAATAACAATCTTCTTTCCAATTTTCAGGATTCCAACTTTATTGGTTCTGCCAAAATTTAAATTGTACCATATTTAGTACCATTCAGTACACATAAGTAAGAATTTTCAAAACAACCCACATTCCTCAGTCCTAGAATATAATATAGAAAAGTAATCTCATTTCTAAATTTCAGCATTCCAGCTCTATCGGTTCACCCAAATCGAAGAATGGTTACAAAACAAGGTTCCTCGCTTCATTTCCAGTGCACAATGGCCACCAAAATCTCTGGATACTAATCCGTTTGACAATTATGTCTGGAGTATTTTGGAAAGCAAGGATGGCACTAAAAATTACCAAAGTGTCGATCACCTCAAGCAAGCGCTTCGCCGGGAATGGGCCAAAATACGCAGAGCAACATTCGGGCAACCTGTGACGGTTTTAAAATTTGATGCTATTTCCAACATTTTTTTGCTTTCATTCAATATTTTTTTAAAAAGTAAAAATTATGGCGTTTGACTTTGTTGCGGTTTTTTATCTCACCCTGTACATATAAAAAAATCAGTCCGCAAGAATGTATTTTTTATACCCTATGATGGTATCCTTTATGTAGGAACAATTGTAGATGGCCACCAGGACTGTATTAATACTCTACACCGCAAGGTGGTCAGGGTATTATGTCTTTGTTTGTAACAGGCAAAAGGAAACAAGTTAGACCCATAGTTCCTTTTGGTGATCTGCATAGAATCACATTCTGAGTCGATTTATGCATGTCCGTCCGTCCAGATGAAATTTATTACACGATCCAGATGAAATTTTGTACAAGTCATTTCAAGGACGAACCCTATTGAAATTGGAGATAATGGGTAAAAATTTACATATAGCTCCCATATATATCTTCGTCCGATTTGCCTTTTATTGTGAACCAAACGTGTAATATCAGTCCGAATAGTATGAAATTTTGCACATACAACCAAATTAGGCCTGAAAATAAGTATGCCAAATTTGATCGAAATCGGTCCAGCTCTACGATTCAATAACAATCTTCTTTCCAATTTTCCGGATTCCAACTCTATTGGTTCCCACAAAATTTAAATTGTACCAAATTTAGTACACATAAGTACGAATTTTCGAAACTACCTACATTCCTTAGTCCTAGAATGTAATGGAATCTTTTTTCTAAATTTCAGTATTCCAACTCTATCGGTTCACCCAAATCGAAATTGTACTAAATTTAGAAATTTCGAAAAATTCCTCCATATCCCAATCCTACACTCCGCCAGTAATGTTAAATTCAAACTTCAGGAATTTCAGGAAATTTCCTTTCCTCCAAATTCGAATTGTACTAAATTTAGTACCGTTCAGTACTTTTCGTATACATGAGAATACACTTCCACAACTACCTCCTTGCATCGACTCTACTCCTCAACCTTGATTCCCATTCCAAATTTCATGTTTTAAGCTCTAACCGTTCACATGATACGAAATGGTACCAAAAGTACCACATTTTAGTATTTTTCGTACACTCGTAGTGCGAATGTTCATACATCATCTGTCATACACTCCACAAGTGATCCTCATTAAAAATTTAAGTGTTCTAGCTCTACTGCTTCCTCAACTACAAATGGTGCCATATTTGGTACCTTTTACTAATTTTCTTACCCTTGTAGTACAGGGTTGCCCATATTCGACGGACCTTTGGGCCTATTCCAATCGACGAGGCTTGTCCGCAGGCAACATTCTTTGTGTCAATTGAATTTTGTACGGGAACAAATGCAAATCAATGCGAATAATCCGTTGTAAAGTGGACAGAGCCATGCCAAACTGCTGAGAACGGCGTTTTTGGGATGTTCTTGGGGACCTCTCAACACTGGCTCGTGCGGCAGCGATATTCTCGGCCGATCGCCTTGGTCGACTCTTATATGGCCTCTTCGGATTAGAAAGAGCCTTACCAATCGAAAATTTTTCGTGTAAACGCTTAAAGGTGTTCTTAGAATGTTTTCAAAGCACGTTGAGGTTTCATAATTGACTTCTTCTTTTGAATGTTAATTTCAGAACGCTCGCATGACGTGTATTGGTTCATGGTAAAAATCTGCTTGGACTGACGCTTCCAACGCGGTATGTCATTAAGCGCTGTGACATCTCTGTCAAAAGTTATGGCGTTGCCAGATGGGTCCGTCGAATATGGGCAACCCTGTACATATTTCCAAAAACTCATTCTTATCTCACCACTTTGAATCTCACTAAAAAAGATTCTAGCTACAACCCTTCCGTCTGGGCGTTGATGCATCGTTAGGTCAGTCAGTCAATTACTTCACTCTTTTATTTATTTAGATATCTGAAGAGATTAAAGCCAATTTCAATAGTACACTCTCTGTACTTCCCCTATGAAACAAATGAAAACTAGAATATAAATCTCCACCTACCTGTTTAAAATACGCCGAATATCCGCCATATATAAAGAACACTATGCGCGTGCATATCTCCGGGCTGAGTAACCGTTCGCGGCACTTATCAATTGCAAATACTTGACGCAAAATAGGCTGCTGAAATAAAGCCGAATCGCCTAGCAATGGATCCAATGGTGAATAGTTTCCCACAATGACCGCCAACAGCTCAAACAACAATTCACGAATATATTTGGAATACACCACAGGAGCCAACATATGGGCAGTCTTAAATTTGGAATTATATTCCGGTTGCATGGAGAGTAATACAAACAGTATCGTCGAACCTTGAGAATGACCAACATAGTGCAACGATGTTTGTTGCGTCTCCTCTAGAATATAATCAATGGTTGTGGGTAAATCAATCACGCCAATTTCATGCCATGAAAAACGCCAAAATTTCGGATCATCTGTTGTTAGATTTACATGACGTCCACTATAGGTGTTGCCACGAGCATTACCCAGCCACACATCATAGCCACTGTCCACCAAGTCGTAGGCCAAGGTATCGGTGAGGCCTCGAACAACCCAACAATCCGAAGAGCTAAGTAAGCCATGCATCAGTAGGACAACGGGACGTCGGACGGATGAATTATTATCCACTGTGGTATTTCTGATACGAAATATTGTAAGAATATAACCATCCTGAGTTTGAATTTCATGCGTTTCACTGCCATAGCCAGAACTTTTAATGCGATCAGCCTAAATAATAAATATTTTATAAATTTATTTTAAATATTTAAAGAATATAAATAATTTCAATTCAATTTCCTTCTCACACTTGTCGTTGTGGCTGCAGCGATACTCTGTAACTTTAGAACTAGAACACCGAGACTTATTACGCTAACCGACTTCATTGCTCACAGCTCAGCAATGTAAACACTCAACTTGTAATGCCTCAACATTTCCTGAGCTTGTTTATAAAATAAGTCTAGAATAGTAAGCATCAAGCGTATGCATGTGGCTAAGACGAACTATAAATACTTTACATCGATAGAATATTTGGCACAAAGTGAGGTTATGTGGTTTGCAAGAAATAGTTTGCAAAAAAAAAAAAAAATCATTCATACATTACCGAGTGATTTAAAGCGTTACAAATTGTAACAAATAATGAGAGGCTTTCTTCTCATTAAATTTTTTATACCCTCCACTATATTATAGAGGGTACATTGAGTTTGTCATTCCGTTTGTAACACCTCGAAATATATATGTTAGACCCCACAAAGTATATATATTCTTGATCGGCATAAAATTCTATGTCGATTTAGCGAAGTCCTTCCGTCTAACCGTCTGTGGAAATCACTCTAGCTTCCGAACGAATTGAAGTAGATTGATAAAATTATACTGAAATGTATATTATGTCTGCAAGACTTTTGGTATTGAAAATGGGCCATGTAGGTCCACGTTTTGGTATAGCCCCCATTTAACGGTACCTCCCGAAATTCGATACTTTGTTGATTTTAGCGACATTATTCACCGGAATTCTTTCAAATTTGGTATTTGAATTTCGTAATGGATGCTACAGCCTATGACAGGAGATTTTCTGTGCAGGGTCGCGTCTTCGTGTAGCCCTCATATAATGGTACCTCCCGATATTCGGTATTTTGATGATTTAAGCGACGTTATTCACCGGAATTGTTTCAAATTTGGTATTTCAAGTTCGTAATGGATACTACAGCCTAAGACGGAAAATTGTCTGTGCAGGTCCACGTCTTCGTATACCCCCCCTTATAACGGTACCTCCCGATATTCAGCTACATTATTCACCGAATTGTTTTCAGTTTCGCATTTTAATATTGTAATGGCTTATTACAACAGTTACTTATGCAGGTCCATGTCGTCGTATATACCCTAACATAACAGCTACATTCGGTATTTTAAGATTTTAACGGTTTTTATTATTTTTAAGAATTGCCAAATCCGCTCCAAATGGTGGAGGGTATTCAAAGTTCGACCCGGCCGAACTTACAGCTTTTTTACTAGTTTTTTTTTAATCACTTTGGTTGGAACATGCGATTCATGTCTTTGCAACAGTCAAAGTCGGTAAGTACCCCTACATATTAGTCATAAGGGTTGCTGGCCTTTCGTCGTCAGCCGTTAATGCAAATGTAATAAAATTTAGACGTTAATTAACGAAAAATATTAAATTACAGGTAATTCTGCACCAAAATATCAAAAAACAAGTAAGCAAGGGCTATAGATGAGCGGGGCCGACAGTGTGATACCATACTACACTTTAATATATTAGAAAACCTCCTTAGGTCCAAACCCATTTTAGTCCAACACAAATGATACCTTAGGTTTTTGACCGGGGCATTTGCCCTATGTTTTCCCCTCTCTCTGTCGTGCCGATTGGTGTTCAAAACAAGTTCACATAAAATGTGTGGACCATTTTATCCAATGGTCATCCAAAATGCTAGACTTCTATCCTGTCCTTCTGGTAGGCTTCTGCTTAGCCCTAAACTCTAACTCCAGTTGGTTTATAATTGAGGCCTGTAGAGCAGCAGCACATTTTAAATTTCTTGATGATCGGGTCATAATTGTGAACTGTAGCGTAATTACAAATTAACATGGACAGATGGACGGACGGACATGCATAGCTAGATCGACTCAGCTCGGCGAGATCGGAAGATCCATATATAGTTTCCTACATATGTCGGGGACCAATACTTCGAGGTGTTACATAATTTTTGGCTCAATCAAACTTATAATACTTCCAACACATAGTGTTGTCGGGTATAAAAAATCACACAATATCTGAGAAAATCCGACACTGATTTTCCACTTTAAAATAGTTATTATTAATACAGGGTTGCCCATATTCGACGGACCCGTGACTCTTGGGGCCCATTCCAATCGACGAGGCTTGTCCGCAGGCAACATTCTTTGCGTTAATTGAATTTAGTTCGGGAACAACTCAATGCGAATAGTCCGTTGTAAAGTGGACCGAGCCGTGCCCAACTGCTGAGAACGGCGTTTTTGGGATGTTCTTGGGGACCTATCAACACTGGCTCGTACGGCAGCGATATTCTCGGCCGATCGCCTTGGTCGACTTTTATATGGCCTCTTCGGATTAAAAAGGGCCTTACCAGTCGAAAATTTTTCGTATAAACGCTTCATGGTGTTCTTAGAAGTCGCACTTCTCAGATTTTTTAATGTTTTAAAAGCACATTGAGTTTTCACAATTGACTTGAATGTAAATTTCAATTGTTTCAGAGCGCTCGCGTGGCGTGTATTGGTTAATGGTAAAAATCTGATTGGACTGACGCTTCAAACGCGGTATGTCATTAAGCGATGCGACATCTCTGTCAAAAGTTATGGCGTTGACAGATGGGTCCGTCGAATATGGACAACCCTGTACAATTTTTTAGGTTAGTCTCACCTAAATATGACTACACAGGGTATATATCATTTGATACTGCCAAATCGTGCCGTCCGTCTGGCTGGTGTGCACGACAGCTCTGGGAGAGAGTATTCGATGTGGTCCAAACTTGGTACATCGTAAAATTATTGACAAACTTAGATCGAGTTCGGAGATGGGCAACATAGGTCCACTCCGCCTGGTATCTCCCACAAAGGGTCAAAATTTGGAAAAGTTGAACTCTTAAAAAAAAAAAAAAAAACAAAAAAAAACAGGTTTAGTTCGTAAATGGGCCATGTTGGTCCACATATTCGTATAGTCCCCATATAATAGTAACTCCTGATATTCGGTACTTTCATGATTTTAACGACATTATTTACCGGAATTATTTTCGTATTCGTACTTGAAGTTCGTAATAGGTACTACAGCCTATGAAAAACATTTTTGTATGTAGGTCAGTGTCTTCGTATAGCCCCCCCATATAACGGCACATCCCAATATTCGATATTTTCATGATTTTAACGACATTTACCGGAATTATTTCAAATTTCGTACTACAACCTAAGGCAAAAAATTGCCATCGTGGGCAGGTCCACGTCTTCGTATAGCCCCCCATATAATGGTACCTCCCGATATTTCATATTTTCATGATTTTAGCGACATTATTTACCGAAATTATTTCAAATTTCGTATTTATAGTTCGTGATGGGTACTACAGCCTATTTCATTTTTGTATGCAGGTACACGTCTTCATATATTCCCCATATGACGGTTTTCAATGAAGTAGTAGTTTTCGGATTTGTTTTTGAACTTTTTAAAGTTCCTTCCAAATGTTGGAGGGTATTAAAAGTTCGGCCAGGCCGAAATTTATTGTTTTTTTACTTGTTCTGGTTCATGATAGAGATAATAAATGGACCATGCTTTTTTAGAATAGAAGACAATGCTAATATTAAAAAAATTGCTATGGCCAGTTGAGGTTGAGAGCAAACCAGAAGACAATTCCAATCATCAATAGATGTTACATTCCGAATGAGAAACAAAACATACCGTTTCAAATTGTATTTTCATATGCAGTAATTTATATTAATATCTTCCTTAGTTGAAATGATTAAGGCGTGATTGTTTTTCTTAATTACATACATATCTATTTGTAACATTGGCATTTTAAATTACAGAGAGTGTAAACTAATAGTAACTATTAATGTTGGTAGACAACTAAAAACAAATAAAAGTAAATCACACTTGATACTAATATTTTGCAAATATGTAGTCGAATTACAAATATATGAGCAAAATACATTATTTTGATTTTTTTAAATTCGCAAACATGTGTTTTTTTTTCATAAAATGTTTGAAACAAAAAAAAATTAATAATAATAAATAACCTACATACAATAATAGTACTCAACACCCTCCCACTTACTTAAGAGAAACTTTGGTATATACCAATTAATGACATTATCTGTACATATCCGTTACAAAGCATCTGACAGCAGAGCTTGAAGTTTGAAGGTAAACATTGAAATCGAATTAAAGGAACATATCGACGGACACACGCCTACAAATCCTGTTGTTAGATTTATTTTTTATTTAGAACAATACCAAAGAATGTTATCGCACATTTATATTTCATTTCAATTAAAAAAATATAAAGAAATCAAAAAGTGGCTACTCAAATAAGTCAATAACTATTGCTTTGTTCTAGAAGCTGCAAGAATCTACCAATTTTGCAAACTTTTCGATAACATAAAGGAATAATCGGTTATCACAGTAACATTTTTATTCAATTCTTTCGATTTCAGGAAAAGAGCATACGTTATTCCATTTAATTTATTCGTTCATCTATGAAAGTACGTTGGAATCATGTGGGCAATATAAAAACACCGGAACTCTAATTTACATAAAAAAAATAAAATAAATAAATAAAAACAAGTAACAAAGTTGTAAGTTCGGCCAGGCCGAATATTGAATACCCTATAACATTAGGGACGAATTTTACAATTCTCAAAAACAATAAAATCCGTTAAAACTTCTGTTAAAATCATAAAAATACCGAATGTAGCTATTATATTAGGGTCCATACGACGACATGAACCTGCGTAGGTAACATTTGTCATAAGCCATTACAATACTCAATTGAGAAAAAAAAATCTGTTTTAATGTAGATAAAATCAAAATACCGAATATCGGGAGGTACCGTTATATGGGGGCTATACGAAGACGTGGACCTGCACAGACAATTTTCTGTCGTAGGCTATAGTAACCACTACGAACTTCAAATATCAAATTTGAAACAATTCTGGTGAAAAATGCCCCTTAAATCATTGAAATACCGAATATCGGGAGGTACCGTTATATGGGGACTTAACGAAGAGGTGGACCTGCACAGACAATTTTCTGTCTTAGGCTGTAGTACGAATTACGAACTTTAAATACCAAATTTGAAACAATTCCGGTGAATAAATTCGCTAAATTCATCAAAATACCGAATATAGGGAGGTACAGTTATATGGGGGCTAGAGCAAAACGTGGACTTTCACAGACAATTTTCTGTCTTGGCTGTAGCATCCATTACGAACTTCAAGTACCAAAAATGAAGCTATTCCGCTGAAAAATGTCGTTAAAATCATCAAAATACCGAATATCGGGAGATACCGTTATATGGGGGCTATACCAAAACTTGGACCTGCATGGCCAATTTTATCAATCTACTTCAATTCGTTCGGAAGCTGGAGTGATTTCCACAGACGGGCAAACAGATAGACGGACAGACATCGACATAGAATTTTATGCTGATCAAAAATATATATACTTTGTGGGGTCTAAAATGTGTATTTCGAGGTGTTACAATCGGAATGGCAAACTTAATATATCCTCCATACTATGGTGGAGGGTATAATAAAATTAGAATAATATTTCCATTCATGTGTTCGAAATTTAGGATATCTAGATCTATATATTAATCTGAAAATTCATAAAATAGAGTAAAGTAATTGACTGACTGACTCATCAACGCCCAGACAACACAACTGAAAGTAGAATATTGAAATTTTGGGTGAGGGTTACTTTTGATCCGAAGGGGACGGCTGGGTTTTTTTTTTTTTGAAAATTCGTACTAGAGGAGGAGCTAGCAATAGATCTTGAACTCTTAAATTTGGAGTGAGGTTCACTGATAGCATTTTGAAGCAAACCAACTATAATTTATTTACTTATCTTACTTTACTTTTATATTTTCAACAATGAATTCCACTAATTGCTTAGTTTATATATTTTATTACATTACGTTTTAACTAATCTGTGTAAATATTTGAATTCAACGGTTAAAATGTAACCATGTAAATAGTACAATAAGTTAACATCTCTGATTCCTACTACCTTTTCAAGCTACCGTAGTTTTAAGCAGAGAAAATGTGTATAAAAGGAGAATGATTTTACAAGAAACCATCCATTCTTGTAGTGATCATCAAATGCTTAACATCAAGTTACCCACGCTTGCCCAAGTTGATGGAATTGATAATAAGCTGAAAATAATCACAAATAAAGAATAGTTCCATTTTTTTTTTTTAAATAAACAACGTTGGTGTTTTATTGCATGAAGCCGTACAATCTACGCCAACGTCGTGTTTCAATTTATAATAGATTTACCGAAGGGTTTTTGAAAATTCGCACAAAAAGTGTAGGAAAATTACAAAAAAGTACATTTGTACCATTTTGTGTAGTCTGAACGGTACAATATGGTACCATTTCGATTCGGGTGAACCGACAAAGCTGGAATTCTTAAATTTAGAAATAAGATTACAATTAAATTTCAGGACTGAGAGATGTAGATAGTTTTGGAAATTCCTACTTTTGTGTACTGAAAGGTGCTAAATTTTGATACAATTAAATTTTGAGTGAACCGGTTGAGTTGGAATTCTGAAATTTCAAAAAAAAAAAAATTTTGCTATTGGACTGTATGATGTAGTTCGTTATGAAAATTGGTACTTAAGTGTAGTAAATCGTACTAAATTAGGTACAATTTGGATTTGGGTGAACCAATGGAGCTTGTACCCTGAAAATTAGAAATAAGATTATTGTCGGAGTATATGATTGTAGTTTCGGAAATATTTACTAAAATGTACTAAATTTGGTGCAATTTGGATTCATATGAACCGATAGAGCTGAAATCATGAAATTTGGAATTAAGATTACTGTTGGAGTGTCGGATTGGGTTATGTAGGATGTTTTGAAAATTTGGGTGAACCTATAGAGTTAGAGTTCTGAAATTTGAAAATATTTTTACCACAAGAATCCAAATGTAATAAATGATACAACATAAAAAGTAAGAAAATTACTAAATAGTAATAACTTTAGTATTTGTGGAAGAATTAGAGCTGGAAATCAGAAATTTGAAGTGAGGGACTTTAATGGTTTTTTTAATTCTAACAATACACGTGCCAAAAGTTCTGAATGTACTAAATATGGTACCATTTGGAATTATATGAACGGATAAAAAAACCTTGGAATTTGATATGAAAATCAAGTCTCAAAAATAGGGTTGGTATAAGGAGGTGGTTTTGGTATATGTGCCAAATCTTAAATTTGGCACTGGGGTTGATTTAGGCTTCGAAGTTGTTTTTGAAATTACGTACTGCAAACAATTACGGAGAATACTAAATAGCACGAAATTTGGTGTTTGGGAAGGGATATATCTGAAAATCTTAAATGAATGTGTATTCAAATTAGACATCTTATTTATCATGTTATTAATAAATTATGTTCTTTTATTTAATATTTTCTATTTGGAATAAAAAAAAATTCATTAAGACCAATTCACTTTATATTAATTTTTGATTCCGCATGCGAAGTAGTGGGCACTTGCATTTCCGTTGTCTAGTGTTGATTTTTGTATCGTCTTGAGCAATTAAATTATTTATTATTTGTTTTTAAACTGAACTCACAAATTGAATAATTACAACAAATGAGTAAAAATATGAATGTGGCACGTCATTCAGCTACTATTTGTTAAATTGTTTTCGAATCGAACAGGTTTAATTGGCTAGGAAGCAATCGAGTAATGATATGTGCAACAATTGCAACTGTCTAAAAAATAATATTTATTTATTGTTAAATGTTACTTATATTTACTTCCTTTCTAAAAAAATATTCTATGCGATTTAAACGACTAACTCGGGAAATAAAACTGCAAATGTGTTTCCATTGTCGATTAACGAAATCCTGTAATATATAACAATAGTTATTATTTTCATATGATATGACATAATAGTTATGCAATTATTAGCTGGGGAAAAAATGTGCGATAATTTTAGAAATATTACAATATTTAGATTATATATAGAAAAGTTTTTTTTTTTTCTTCAACGCATTTCTGTTATTTCGACCTTGCTTTTAAACAAATCAAACACCTAACATGAATACAGTTCACTTCCCCACGATCATTCAGTTTATAATTACAACAGCACCAATGAAAGTTCGCTTCAAAGCTTCTAATTGTGTTTCATTCGAACTTGTTGTAATTCACAATAACAACCAGCCAGCTGTCATCATTTCTGCAAAACATATGGCAACGATAATTAAAGTAAATTTATAAAAAAAAAGAATAAACAAATAAGCTTAACACGGTGAGATAAAAAAACAGCAACAAAGTCAAAAGCCATAATTTTTATTTTTTTTTTAAATTTTATTGAATGAAAGGAAACAAGTACACCACCATTTGGTACAAATTTAACAAAAAAATAAAATCCGTTAAAAATTCTGTAAAAAAATCTTGAAAATACCTAATGTAGCCGTATATTAGAAACTATACGACGACAGGTCCACGTCGTCGTATAGTTTCAAATATATAGGCAACTTTTGTCACAAGCTATTCCGAAACTTGACAAAAAAATCTTTTTATAATGTAGCTAAAATCATCAAAATACCGAATATCGAGAGGTACCGTTATATGGGGGCTATACGAAGACGTGGACCTACATTTTCTGTCTTAGGATGTAGTATTCATTATGAACTTCAAATACCAAAATTGAAACAATTCCGGTAAATAATGTCGCTAAAATCATCAAAATACCGAACATCGGGCGGTTACGTTACATGGGGGCTATACGAAGACGTGGACCTGCACAGACAATTTTCTGTCATAGGATGTAGCATCCAAATACAAAATTTGAAACAATTCCGGCAAATAATGTCGCTAAAATCATCAAAATACCGAACATCGGGGGTTACATTGCATGAGGGCTATACGAAGACGTGGACCTACATGGCTCATTTTCTGTCATAGGCTGTAGCATCCATTACGAACTTCAAATACAAAATTTGAAACAATTCCGGTAAATAATGTCGCTAAAATCATCAAAATACCGAATATCGGGGGGTACCGTTATATGGGGGCTATACGAAGACGTGGACCTGCACAAACAATTTTATGTCATAGGCTGTAGCATAAATTACGAACTTCAAATACCAAATTTGAAATAGTTCCGGTAAATAATTTCGCTAAAATCATCAAAATACCGAATATTGGGGGGTACCGTTACATGGGGGCTATACCAAGACGTGAACCTACATGGTCCATTTTCTGTTTTAAGCCGTAGCATCTATTACGAACTTTAAATATTAATTTTGAAACAATTCCGGTAAAAAATGTCGCTAGAATCATCAAAATACCGCAAATCGGGAGGTACCATTATATGGGGGCTATACGAAGACGTGGACCTAAATGTCCCATTTTCAATACCAAAAGTCCTACAGACATAGCACACATTTGAGTAAAATTTTATCAACCTACTTCATTTCGTTCGGAAGCTAGAGTGATTTCCACGGACGGATGGACGGATAGACAGACGGACATCGCTAAATCGACATAGAATTTTATGCTGATCAAGAATATATATACTTTGTGGGGGCTAAAATGTATATTTCGAGGTGTTACAAACGGAATGACAAACTTAATATAACCTCCATACTAAAGTGGAGGGTATAAAATTGTGGGAAATAGCATTACATTTTTAGAATAATATTAGATTTGTTCGAATTGTTCACCTTTGGCACGAATTATGGCCTTCAAACGGCCAATGAAACCGTCATTGTGCGCTGGAAATGAAGCGAGGAACCTCATTTTGTAACCATTCTTGTGTGGCACGTGCTGAGTGCGATGGTGCTGAGTCCTGTTGAAATATCCAAAGTCTGTGGCCAAAAAACTGCGTGCCCAAGCTTTAATACATCCTTCAGAATATTTTCGCGATAATATTCGGCATTTATTCTGATGCCACGGTCTATTAATACGAGCGGAGATCGACCGGACCATCGGCTGTTATGGCAGCCCACATCATCACCATGGCCAGCGCTTGAGTTCTGGTGACCAACCGAAGTTGCACATTTTCAGCTGACCTCTTTGGCAAGTAAACACGATCATTTTATTTGTTTACAAACTGCTGGACAACGAATGTTTTAGCTCTTTTGAGTCTATTCTCTTTCTGTTCCGATGTAAGTTCTTGCACTTTTTGGAATTTCAATGACTTTACCCCGAGCTCATTTTTCAATATTTGCCGAATGGAATATTGCGATATGTTCAGCTCACGAGCCATTTTTTGGCCACTGCGACGCGATAAAGTCGCTTCTTTACTTTTCGAATCATTTCTGCGGATGTTGTTGTTTTCTTCCATTCACATCCTCGACGTCGGGCTCGGAAATGCGTCCTCTATTTGTATGAAAAGTTCAAAATGGTACTTAGTGTGGCATTGGATGAAGCGATATTGCTGAAATCCTCAAATTTGATATTGAGCTCTCTGTTGATATCTGGAATTGCGATATAGAGGTGGTTTTGGAAATGTGTACTACAATTGTACGAGAAGTACTAAATAGTACTATATTTGGTACAATTTGGTAATGGGTGAAGGTATAGAGCTGAAATACTGAATTTTTATATAGTCACTGCTAGTATCTGAGTTTGCTTTGCTTTAGAAATGCGTCCTATATTTGTACGAAAAGTACTAAATGGTACAAATGGTATTCAGTGATTGTTTAAAGCTGGAATCCAGAAATTTTGAAATTGAAGTTTTGGAAAAGTGTACAATAATTTTTCGAAAAGTACTAAATGGTACTAATTTTGGATCACTGCATATGACCTATGTCTTATATAATTATTGCGACGTGTCAGGTCTGGTCTGTAACTTCCTCTCCTTTATTTGAGATAGTTGTACATAATTTTTGAAAATTTTGATATTTTGACGTGAAATTTTGACCGCTTGTGGTGATGGTATCAAAAGGAATGTGTCGAAAAAATCCATATTCACATCAGATCTCGACTTAAGTCAAACATTGAGATGTACTTTCTTTAAAGAGAATCGCTGCCTTGTATTAACTTTGACATTCCTCGAAATACTCATGTCAGAATACTCATGTCTTGATCAGCGTAAAATTCTAAGTCGATTTAGCGATGTCCGTCTGTCTGTCCGTCTGTCTGCCTATCTTTCGAACGAATAGAGATAGAAGGCTAAAATTTTGCACACATGTTTATTTTTCAGTAGGTAGCTTAAGTTCGTAAATGGGCCATGTAGGTCGACGTTTTCGTATAGCCCCCATATAACGGTACCTCCCGATATTCGGTATTTTGATAATTTTATCGTCATTGTTCACCGGAATTGTTTTAAAATTGGTATTTGAAGTTCGAAATGGATAATACAGCTTAAGACAAAAAATTTTCTATGCAGATCCACGTCTTCGTATAGCCCCCATATAACGGTACCTCCCGATATTCGGTATTTTGATGATTTTATCGTCATTGTTCACCGGAATTGTTTCAAATTACGTATTTAGAATTCGTAATGGGATCTACATTCTGTGATTGAAAATTGTCTTTGCAGGTCCAGGTCTTCGTATAGCCCCTATATAACGGTACCTCCCGATATTCGGTATTTTGATGATTTTAGCGACATTATTAACCGGAATCGTTTGAAATTTGGTATTTGAAGTTCGTGATAGATACTACAGCCTATGACAGAAAATTTTCTCTGCAGGTCCACGTCTTCGTATAGCCCCCATATAACGGTACCTCCCAATATTCGGTATTTTGATAATTTTATCGTCATTGTTCACCGGAATTGTTTCAAATTACGTATTTAGAATTCGTAATGGGATCTACATTCTGTGACTGAAAATTGTCAATGCAGGTCCAGGTCTTCGTTTAGGCCCCATATATCAGTAGCTCCCTAAATTCGGTATTTTGACGTGTTTAGATACAATACCCACCGAAATTGTTGGAGATGTCGTATTTGAAGATCGTTATAGATGCTACAGCCTATGACAGAAAATTTTTTTGCATGTCCAGGTCTTCGTATAGCTCCGATATAACGATACCTCCCTACCTATAACGGATATATTCGGTATTTTTAAGAGTTAAACAGAATTTTTAACAGATTATATATTTTGAAAATTTCTAAATGTTCATGTTCTAAGGGTTATAAGTAGACAAAATTGGGAACCTTTTGTGGAGGAGGTAAAAGAAGGAGTGGTCCAATATATTCCATATTTACACCAGATCTTGTGTTGATAGAAATATTGAAATGTCAAAAATTTGACCAGTTGTGTGGGAGGTACCAGAAGGAGTCGCCGATATCTACCATCTTTACATCAAATCTTGTTTTAGTAGAAATATTGGAATGTGTAAAGTTTAGAATGAGTCGAATACTTATTTCGCATTTTATTAGAGATATTATTATTCCAAATTTTGATCCGTTGTGGGGGAGGTGTGTGAAATTTGAAGATAATTGGGCTCTTATTTCACATTTGATCCAAAGAGTCCCAGGGTCTCTGTAGCCATATGGCTGAGTGTATTATAAACGAGTTTTAATCACAGTTCGTCGTCATCTATGATATGATCGGTTTTATGAGCTACTCTGTTGTAAAACCAGAGCCGAGTTTTTCCCCATAGTGTAATTCGGTCTTTAATTCGAAATCCATTTAATCAGGGCGAGTTTGATGTTATTGCTCATAAAATTAAGGTTAAATATATTTTTTGGTATTTTTCACTTAAATTTAATTAAAATCTAGTTATCTCTCTTCATTTCGCCATGCCTCCTCCGTCTCCTGCATAATTTTCAACACAACCGGATTTATAATCTTTTTAATGTTATGGGCCCACATAAAATCAAAATGGGCAAATTTCTTCAAATTAATAAAATGTGAAATACTTCTATTTCCCAGAATTTTACTGAATTTCTCAACATCGAGTTTCGTTGAGAAATCATCAAAGTCACTGTAGTAGAAGTGAAAGGGGAAACGGGGTTGTATCCTCTGCACATCATAGTCTGGCGTTGTGGTTCGATTGTAATACTGAAGATTTAGCTCCGCTCCAAAGTCATATTGGCGAAAATGTCCTGAAATATGCAGCTGGACAAAATGAAACGATTGACGAGCTGAGGTACTGGCTGGATGGGTTTTGAAAACATCCGGGAAGATGGACTGGAAGAGAAATATTTTTTTAGGAGATTATATTTCCAAATTCCGACAAAATACTTACTTTTTGTATGTAATCGGACATGCCACCATTCAGCAAGGCAGTCAAAACGTCACACAGTTCTCTGGAGGCCCTGGGATTGATACAAGTTTTGAAGAGCATTCCACCAATTGGTAGGTATCTCGAAGTGGTATAACTAACCAAGTTATCCAGTGGTGTATGCATCCTCACCAGCGGCACAGCAGTTAGCACCGCCGGAGAGCGGGTGTGCTTGAGATATGCAATGGGCGCAATCATATGCAACGATTTTAATTTCTCGCTATATTTTGGTTGAATGGAGAGTAAAACGAACATAATAGTAGTACCCGGAGAATGGCCCACATAATGAAGCCTTGGCTGTTGGGTCTTCTGTAGTATATAATCCATGGTGGTAGGTAAATCAATAATTCCAATTTCATGCCAGGAAAAATTCCAAAATTTCGGTGAATCCAAAGATAACTTTCGGTGACGTTTGCCATAGGTATTTCCTCGAGCATTACCCAACCAAACATCATAGCCCCTATCCACCATATTATAGGCCAAACCATCTTTTAGACCTTGTAAGACCCAACAGTCGGAGGAGCTCATCAAGCCATGCATCATTAGCACTACAGGGGCAGTGGGGGAAGAGGTAGTCCGATTTCCCCTGCCAATTATGCGAAACACCGTCAGACCATAACCATCTTTGGTAAAAATCGTATGTGTCTCACTGCCATATCCAGCCGCTTTGATACGATCAGCCTGCTGGCAAAACGTGATTAGAATTTCTTTGTTAAATTCTCTAATTGTTTACTTACCGTCGTTGTCACCGCGCTTGTCACATGCTGCACTTCGACAATTAAAATAATTATATTTAGAATCACAACAACGGATTTCATTGCCACCGCCAACCAGTGTTAGCAGATCGAACGTCTTGAGAGAAATGGCCACAGAATCGCCGTGATAATGTTTTCAAAGTAATCATTATTAGATACAAAGAATCTGGGTAATAAATAGGTACTTAAAGTGACAAGACCGCAGAAAAAATACCCTACCTCATGGAAATAAAAATGTTTTAATACTATTAAGTATCGAGTTTGTAAAATTACAACATAATATACCAAGGCTTTTAACATTACACTGTGCTACAGCCAATCTGGGAAATGAGAATTTCCAAGGTGGTGGGATTGGGTTAGCAGATTTAAGAACCCAAAAATGTTCCCAGACTAAACTATTTTTAGAGTCCTTTATATAGGCTTAACAATGCAAAAAGGTCTCCCATATTTAGATTCATATCAAACCAAAATACCAAGTAAGAATCAAATCATTTGGAAGATGCGATCAAGACCCTCGAAGTAGATTAAATTGGAGGCTTCCTCTCAGGTTTACATTTAATGAAAAATTTAAAGAAAAATTTCTTAAAAACAACTTAAAAAGTATCCGACAAATGTAGACTATTATTTAAATATATTTATACTTCTGATATGATTTTTAAAATTGTTGACCATGGAGAAGATTCCGAAGAAGTGGGTTCATTTCGTATCGAACCTAAATATATATGATATAAATATTGTGACGTGCCAGGTTTGGACTATATTGATTACTTCCTTTACTTTGTATGAAATATGCGATAATTTTTAGATGATGTTAAAATGTGCGTGAGATACCGATGGAAGTATTCCATTTTCTTACTTCATCTGACACAGATAAAAATATTGGTATTGACAAAATTACAAGAAAATCGAACATTTATATCAAATTTTATGAGAAACCATAAATTCCATATTCATCTCAGGTTTCCGGTTGAGAGAAATATTCTGATATAGCAAGTTGTAAAGAATCGCTTACTTATTTCACAAGTTATGAAAGATAAAAGTATTGAACATTGTAACTCTTTGTGGATGAGATATCAGAAGGGGTTCGCAGGTGATATATATCACAACAAATTATGTGTTAGCAAACAATTTTTTATGTGTGAAATTTGAAGAAAGTTAGATGCTTATTTCGCTTTCTTTCAGATTTTTATTTTTCAACTCTTGAACCCTATGTTGGAGAGGTAGCAGAAAAAATGGTCCAATCTCTACCATCCTTATAACAGCTTTTGTGTTGATGTAAATATTGAGATGTACCAAGTTTGAATGGAATCGGATGTAGGTCCATTAAGATAAATACCGTATTTATCTAGCGGAGACATAAACCACTCTGTTAACAGAGCCATTAACAGAGCAATGTTAAACTTAACAGAGCATAAAGAAAATTGTTATTTTTTTTAAAATTCTATTTTCTAATGTTTAGTCATCAAAGAATTTATTTTTTTTATGATAAACAACAACTATAGCTTTAATTAAAAAGTTTATGAAAAGCTGTCTTGCTACGGGTACCCACTAACTTGTAGTTGCCCAATATGTGACAGGACATTGGCATTAGATAAACTACGTTTTAAAACAATTCTTCCAATCCAACATGCACATCAGTGAAAAGCTTACGTAGAGTACTATCCATTGGCATAATAAAAATTGCGGGTCAATCCGACAGATTCCGAGGTATTTGGCTATTTCTGGAAAAATCCTTTGGACAGGATAATTCCATTGGCCAATATGCCTTCCAGGACAATTCTTCCAATCAAACATGCACATCAATGGAAAGCTTACGAAGAGTACTATCCATTGGCATAATAAAAATTGTGGGTCAATTCGACAGATTCTGAGGTATTTGGCTATTTCTGGAAAAATCCTTTGGACAGGATAATTCCATTGGCCAATATGCCTTCCAGGACAATTCTTCCAATCCGATATGCACATCAATGGAAAGCTTACGAAGAGTACTATCCATTGGCATAATAAAAATTGTGGGTCAATCCGACAGATTCCGAGGTATTTGGCAATTTCTGGAAAAATCCTTTGGACAGGATAATTCCATTGGCCAATATGCCTTCCAGGACAATTCTTCCAATCCGATATGTACATCAATGGAAAGCTTACAAAGAGTACTATCCATTGGCATAATAAAAATTGTGGGTCAATCCGACAGATTCCGAGGTATTTGGCAATTTCTGGAAAAATCCTTTGGACAGGATAATTCCATTGGCCAATATGCCTTCCAGGACAATTCTTCCAATCCAACATGCACATCAATGGAAACCTTACGAAGAGTACTATCCATTGGCATAATAAAAATTGTGGGTCAATCGGACAGATTCCGAGGTATTTGGCTATTTCTGGAAAAATCCTTTGGACAGGATAATTCCATTGGCCAATATGCCTTCCAGGACAATTCTTCTAATCCGATATGCACATCAATGGAAAGCTTACGAAGAGTACTATCCATTGGCATAATAAAAACTTCCTCTGCCAAATTTACCAATGGAATTATCCTGTCCAAAGGATTTTTCCAGAAATTGCCAAATACCTCGGAATCTGTCGGATTGACCCACAATTTTTATTATGCCAATGGATAGTACTCTTTGTAAGCTTTCCATTGATGTACATATCGGATTGGAAGAATTGTCCTGGAAGGCATATTGGCCAATGGAATTATCCTGTCCAAAGGATTTTTCCAGAAATAGCCAAATACCTCGGAATCTGTCGGATTGACCCACAATTTTTATTATGCCAATGGATAGTACTCTTTGTAAGCTTTCCATTGATGTGCATATCGGATTGGAAGAATTGTCCTGGAAGGCATATTGGCCAATGGAATTATCCTGTCCAAAGGATTTTTCCAGAAATAGCCAAATACCTCGGAATCTGTCCGATTGACCCACAATTTTTATTATGCCAATGGATAGTACTCTTCGTAAGGTTTCCATTGATGTGCATATCGGATTGGAAGAATTGTCCTGGAAGGCATATTGGCCAATGGAATTATCCTGTCCAAAGGATTTTTCCAGAAATAGCCAAATACCTCAGAATCTGTCCGATTGACCCACAATTTTTATTATGCCAATGGATAGTACTCTTCGTAAGCTTTTCACTGATGTGCATGTTGGATTGGAAGAATTGTTTTAAAACGTAGTTTATCTAATGCCAATGTCCTGTCACATATTGGGCAACTACAAGTTAGTGGGTACCCGTAGCAAGACAGCTTTTCATAAACTTTTTAATTAAAGCTATAGTTGTTGTTTATCATAAAAAAAATAAATTCTTTGATGACTAAACATTAGAAAATGGAATTTTTAAAAAAATAACAATTTCCTTTATGCTCTGTTAAGTTTAACATTGCTCTGTTAATGGCTCTGTTAACAGAGTGGTTTATGTCTCCGCTAGATAAATACGGTATTTATCTTAATGGACCTATCGGATGTTTATTTCGCGTTTAATGATCTTCATGGATATTCAAAAATTTGACGCTTTGTAGGGGAGGTACCAGAAGGATTGGTCCGATTTATTCCATCTTCACAGCAGATCTTGCGATAGTAGAAAAATGGGATGTGTGAAATATGAAGAGAACCAGATACTTATTTGGGATTTTATAATGGTGTTGGTTGTTTAAAACTTTGACACTTTGTGGGGAAGGTACCAGAAGGAACGGTCCATCTCTACCGTTTTTATAACAGAACCTGTTGATAAAAATAAGAGATATGTCAATAGAATCGGAAGTTAACATCGCGTTTTATGAGCTTCATGGATATTCAAATTGTTAACCCTTTGTCGGGGAGGTACCAAAAGGAGTGGACCGATACATTCAATCTTCACACAATATCTTAGGTTAATAATATTGCGATCTGTGTAATTTGAAGACAATCGGAATTTTATATCACATTTTATAAGTGTGGTAAATATTCAAAATTTTGACCCTTTGTGGGGGAGGTACTTGATGGAGTGGACAGATATTGTCCATTTTCGCACTGACATAATATTAGAATTTTCAAAGTTGGAGCACAATCGGATTATCCGTTCTCTTTGTGTGCAGTAAAATATTTTTTTATGAAAATTCCGAATTTTAGTGGAGAGGGTACCAAAAGGAGTGGACCGATATTGCCCATCTCCGGACTCGATTTAAATTTAATAAGAATATTACGATGTACCAGCTTTACATCAAATCGGATACTTCCTCCGAGAGTTATCGTGCGCACCAGCCAGCCAGACGGTCGGACGGGCGGACATAGCTAGAGCGACTCCAAATGTCCTGAAACGAATTTGGTCCAAAAAGTCCTAGAGTCTAAAATGTTATTTCAATGAGGCACGTTTTGGCCGTATCAAATGATATATACGGTCGCTAGCCATATGAATGAGGGTATGAAAAACCTATGACACTATGTACCTAACATGAAAGGGTTCCAAAGAATCGTAATCCAAAATTTTCCAAAAATGTTTAAGAAGGGACAGTGTCTATTTCTATTTAGATTACTTAGGGATGAAACCACATAAAACAACGGTACATGTGTCTTATATTCTTTAGCTCTACTTTAAAAATCTTTTGAGTTTTTCCAGTAAATACTTTTTTCTGTTACACTGTGTGTTTCTATAAATTTATATTTATTGAAAATTGTTAATTAAAAATCATTTTACTCGTACAGATATCAAATGGACGGTTACATGTTTCAAGATGTATTTTCCTAAATTATTACAAATGTATTAGATAGATTAGTTGTAAAAGACGAAATGAAACACAACAATTTTGAATGAGTTTTTCAAATTACTGAGTTAAATCTTCCATTTGAAGAACATATGTATTCATATTCATTCATTTTAGTATTTTCATACGGACATTATTGGACCAAAAATTATGTAACACCTCGAAATATTGGTTTCCCACACAGGAAACTATATATGGATATTCCTATTTCGCAGAGCTGAGTCGATCTAGCTATGTATGTCCGTCCGACCGTCTGTCCATGTTAATTTGTAATCACTCTACAGGTCGCAATTATGGCCCGATCCCCACGAAATTGAAAATGGAGGTGAAGTTACGATCAGAATAGAATCCTACTCTTTTGGAGATGATTGCAAAATATTTAGGGGTTGAAATGGAACAAAAACAGAAAATTTTCCTGATTTTGTAGTTGCTCTGTAGGTCACAATTATGAACCAAACGACGCGGAAATTTACATGGAGTT